CTTTGTTGTCTTGGCCGTGTGTTTTGGTTCATTGTCATGCTGGAATACCCATCCACGACCCATTTCCAATGCCCTGACTGAGGGAAGGAAGTTCTGAGCCAAGATTTGACGGTACATGGCCCCGTCCATCGTCCCTTTGATGCGGTGAAGTTGTCCTGTCCCCTGAGCAGAAAAACACCCCCAAAGCATAATGTTTCCACCTCCATGTTTGACGGTGGGGATGGTGTTCTTGGGGTCATAGGCAGCATTCCTCCTCCTCCAAACACGGCGAGTTGAGTTGATGCCAAGAAGCTCCATTTTGGTCTCATCTGACCACAACACTTTCACCCAGTTGTCCTCTGAATCATTCAGATGTTCATTGGCAAACTTTAGACGGGCATGTATATCTGCTTTCTTGAGCAGGGGGGCCTTGCGGGCGCTGCAGGATTTCAGTCATTCACGGCGTAGTGTGTTACCAACTGTTTTCTTGGTGACTATGGTCCCAGCTGCCTTGAGATCATTGACAAGATCCTCCCATGTAGTTCTGGGCTGATTCCTCACCGTTCTCATGATCATTGCAACTCCACGAGGTGAGATCCTGCATGGAGCCCCAGGCCGAGGGAGATTGACAGTTCTTTTGTGTTTCTTCCATTTGCGAATAATCGCACCAACTGTTGTCACCTTCTCACCAAGCTGCTTGGCGATGGTCTTGTAGCCCATTCCAGCCTTATGTAGGTCTCCAATCTTGTCCCTGAGAGCTCTTTGGTCTTGGCCATGGTGGAGAGTTTGGAATCTGATTGATTGATTGCTTCTGTAAACAGGTGTCTTTTATACAGGTAACAAGCTGAGATTAGGAGCAATCCCTTTAAAAGTTTGCTCCTAATCTCAGCTCGTTACCTGTATAAAAGACACCTGGGAGCCAGAAATCTTTCTGATTGAGAGGGGGTCAAATACTTATTTCCCTCATTAAAATGCAAATCAATTTATAACATTTTTGACACGCGTTTTTCTGGATTTTTTTGTTGTTATTCTGTCTCTCACTGTTCAAATAAACCTACCATTAAAATTATAGACTGATCATTTCTTTGTCAGTGGGCAAACGTACAAAATCAGCAGGGGATCAAATACTTTTTTCCCTCACTGTATATGTAAAGACGCTCCTTGCAGACATCCATTTTCAGGGGAGTTGAGGCTTTATTTCTCCAAACGTATTTACAGTTTGATCATAACCACTGCTACACTGATCATGTCTATCTTCAGCCCCGGTGGTTTCCACTATGTTGATCTCGAATAGTCGGCCCGATGTCGTCCACCGATCGTCGATTAGTCCCCGAGCAAGCGCCGAGACTGCGGACCTCACTCCCCCTTTTACATACCCACTCGACCGCACCCCCATCCGACAGTGAGCCCCCCCCCCCCCACTTAATTATCACACGTGTGACAGTGCCTTACGGCCACGTGTTTTCAACCATCTCAACTCGCCCTTCTCGAACCTTCTCTTATACAGTCCCCTACACATATATACACACACAAATACAAACTGACTCGTCACATAGACCCATCGACTTATCACAGAAAAAACCCATAGACTCACCAGACAGAGACCCACAAGCTCATCGCGAATAGTCCCATAGACTCATCACACAGAGACCAATAGACTGAGCAAAGTAATTTTAAAACCGAGCGCAGCGAATGGCATGAGAAAGGTTAAGTCGAAGGTACAAGTGGAAGTAACTAAAATAAATGAAAAGTTAAGAGAATGGGTTTTTGTTTCAGTTTTTAGTTATGGAAAGGCGAGTAGGTTGAGTCTTGTACAGACCACGGAATGAAGAGATGCTGCAGAAGGAAAACAAAATAAACACACAAAGCAGTTGTACAGACATGAGCTTTCAATTTAGTACGGTGGTGTCGTGTGTAGTGTAGTGTATATTTGTGAAGTGTATGTGTACTATATAGTATTATAGTAGTGTAGTGTTTCGGTTAGTGGTGGATTGTATAGTGTAGAGTAGAATAGTATAGTGTACTAGATGTACTACTCGGCTTCGCCCGGGTCTTGGATCCACGACGCTAGGCCGCCTTTGTCTCCCCAGTGGCGATGTTCATACGCCACAGCAGTTACTCGTTTTGAGGCTGAGTCGACCTAGGGGAGGTTCAAATAATCGTCGCCGGTGGTGTCCGTGAGCGGGAATGGAACTCGGTTCGCCGGGTTCGTAGCGCAGCGTAGCGTTAACCACTACACCCACCGCTCCTCACACACCACACACGCACAGACACACACACAGACACGCAGACACACACAGACAGACACACACACACACAGACAGCACGCTAACCACTACACTACCGCTCCCCACACACCACACACGCACACACACAGACACACACACAGACACACACACACAGACACACAGACACAGACAGCACGCTAACCACTACACTACCGTTCCCCCTACACAACACACGCGCGCGCGTCCATAGCTACACATACACGCGCTTGCTGCAGACACACACGACTTTCAGGGTGCGTACGGCAGTAAACAACTGAAATAATACAGCGGCAATGCTGCGCGAGGAACGCCTTAGACCTGCAACACATTTGTGTAATGCGAGCGTAAAGACACAAACACATACAAACACATACACACACATACATGCAGACACACAGACACACACATAACACACATACATACACACACATACATACACACAAACACATACACACACGTACATACACACATACATACAGACACACAGACATACACATAAACACATACACAAAAACACACATACATACACACACACATACATACACACAAACACATACACACACATACATACAGACACACAGACATACACATAAACACATACACACATACACATGGGCCGGCTTCGGCCGGGACTTAGATCCACGACGCCCGGCCGCCTTTGTCTCCCCAGTGACGATGGTCACACACGACACCAGTTACGCGTTTGAGGCTGAGTCTACCTAGGGGAGGCCCAGGTCGGGTTGAAATAATCGTCACCGGTGGTGGCCGTGAGTGGGAATCGGCGTACGTGTTACAAATTGACTAACTTTACTTCATAACCAGGCTACAGTGTACATTATAGACTGGCAGTACACGCAGCCAGCTGAATAAGCAGGCTGCAGTCTACATAATAGACGGGCAGTACGCTAAACCAGCTTAATGACTATTTGTACAAAGAACATTTAAAGCATCGATTATAATAACCAGGCTACAGTGTACATTATAGACTGCCAGTACACCCACTCAGCTTCATAAGCAGGCTAGAGTGTACATGATAGAGTGGCAGTACGCTCACGGAGCTTAATAAGCAGGCTACAGTCTACATAATAGACTGCCAGTAGACTCAGGCAAATTAATAAGCAGGCTACAGTATACATTATAGACTGTCAGTACGCTCACCCAGCGTAATGACTATTTGTACAGTGACCATTTAAAAAATAGATTCTTGGCGCGTTGGGTTTAAAAGTAATATGATTTGCACACATTGTGTTGGGGGGGGGAGTGAAGAGTACGTGAAACTTTGATGAATTTACCTCAGAGTGGCGTGGTGGGTGTCGAGGCCTAGTAGCGTGCAGAGCCTCCGGCCTCGTCTAAATAGCCCACCCGGCAGAGGCAGGGTACGGGTGGTTTCCCCCCCCCCCCCCCGCGCTATAATAATAGTGTCTAATCGCTATTATTTTATTATGTACGTAGCCTATAATAGTAATAGAACACATTGGGGTGGGAGGGGAGTGAAGAGGACGTGAAACTGTGATGAATTTACCTCAGAGTCGCGTGTTAATGTGTGCGCCTATTTTTAACGGGAATTAAAAATGGCGACTGCGTCGCTAGCCGTTGCCAGGGGCAACCGCCGGACCAATCGTGTGTCGCAATGCAGGGGCAACCGCCGGACCAATCGTGTGTCGCAATGCAGGGGCAACCGCCGGACCAATCGTGTGTCGCAAATCCCTGACATTTCGTCCAATGAAACTGCGTATGGTCCGGAGACACACAGACACACAGACAGACAGATTCACGATTTTATATATATAGATTAGCCTTTTGCCTGTCCAAGGACGGGTGTATTGCAGCAAATCTGAAACTTCCAAGCGGAATGCAGACCGCGACGTGACATTCATTGCCTTAATGCGTGTGCAATTTGTAAGGGCGCGGTGACACAGATCTATTTCATTTTAAGGTTATAATCCCTTGTTCATCATGACGTCCTTTTTACTTTGTCTTAATAGCGTTACGGAGATCTGTGACGTGAGGGTTCTGCCTTTGTAGTTAGGGTTGTAAGTTGACGCCGAGGGGGGCGGAGGCGCCTCACCCCCCCCCCCCATGTGGAGTGACGTCAGCCGCTAATTATTAATTATTAATGGAGGTGGGGTGTCCATTTGGAGGACGTCCTCTTCATGGTTATTAATGAGGGGGGCTGTTCGATGTGGAGTGACGTCACCTGCTCATGTTTATTAATGAGGGGGGCTGGTCGACGTGGAGTGACGTCACGAGCAATGCACACAGGCATTATTGGCTCATAGGTAATAATGGTGGGGGGGGGGGGGGTGTCCATTTGGAGGACGTCACCTGCTCATGAATATTAATGAGGGGAGCTGGTCGATTTTGAGTGACGTCACGAGAGGTAAGGACATTCCTGGGTGATTATAGTAGGTATAGGTGTGTAGTGTGGAGTAGTGTATAGTAGTGTGAATATGTATGTTTAACTTATTTAACACCATACGTAGCTAATCAGAGGTGCTGGAAAAGGACAGCAAACTAATCACAACGAGCAGAAATTCTAAAGAAGATTGTCAACTTAGATGATGGTGATGATTTAAAAAGTTGCATGGCTCCCAGTAGCTTCCTAATATCAGACGAAAGAGCATTCCAGACGGCCGCATAAGCAGCACAATCTGAAAGCGCCGCGATAATGCAGTGACCACCATCTTTGCTCGATTGTTAGCCAAAAGACGCTGCTGCCAGCATGACCGTGGTGTGTGTTTTTGTATTTTGCAGGTGGAGCAGCATGAACATTACCCTGATTCATGTTCTGGCGGCTGTCATCTGGCTCGCTATGAGCGTCGAAGGTGACGTTTTTCACTCCACTCCTCAGCTATACGTTTGCATTCATTTAGTTAGTATACAGTCTGTCCTCTTGTGTTGGGGTAGTAATGTTCCTGAAGAACACCGCAATTACCTATACTTTCCACTACACTAGACACTGCTATAAACTAGAATGTACTACTATACACTACCCCCCACACCTCCGATCAACGCAACGGTTGGACTAAGTTACAGTTATGGGTCCAATCCATGGTCATCATTAACTCCATTCATTACATTAAGCCCATTCCAGCTACATATGTCTCTCTTCCCGTGAAGATGTTAACTACCTCGCCTGGTATGCATGAGATTCGTGAACTTGCACCCTGACGATGCATGCTGCTGTTATATGTGGAGTTTGCATCTCTCTATCCCCAGTCGTGGTCTCATGGATTTTTAAGCAGGGTCCTCCGGTTTTTCCCTTCACATTTAAAAACACAGATGTAGAGTTAACTTTGGAGCTTTCGTGACTGCAGGAATTATTATTTGGTTCTTTCGGTAAAGTCACGTATAAAGAAAAAATAATAAATTAAATAATAGCATACGACGTTTCGATTGCAACACAAGCAATCATCATCAGGTATAATGAAATAGCGACATAAAATCTAACCAGAAAAAATTATAGACAGACATATAAGCAGACAGATATCACCAAGATACACACAGCGGGCAACACAGGTACAGAGAGGGGTGATCGTCTCTGTGGGGTGGCCTTCAATAGACAGAGGGGGGCGGAGGCAGCGAGAGGGAGGGGTTAGAGACAAAATTTACATGTCAATGAGTACAACAAAAAGGAGTGAGCAGGCTTAGGGGGAGAAAGAAACACACTAAAATTAAATAACCTAGCAAAGTATCGAAATGTTATGTAAAACGACACAGAGAGTCGGTCAACACACAATTAACGCATAGCCTGGTCGATTACGTATTTCAAAGATTGCTAAGTTAGAATTTAAGTGTGAAAATTTCAAAGAAAGACAAAACATAAAAACAAGAGGAACGGAGACACACAGACAGAGCAGAACCTAAGAACGACAAAAAACGAGTGTAGACAGAAAAAATTACACTAAATAAACAGGCAGAGAGAGAGAATAAAAACCCAGAGAGAGAGAAAAAAGGTAAACTTGGAACTTTCCCGTAGAAGTGGTTCAATCTTAACTTTGGAGCTTTCGTGACTGCAGGAATTATTCTTTGGTTCTTTCGGTAAAGTCACGTATAAAGAAAAAATAAAAAATTAAATAATAGCATACGACGTTTCTTTCTCCCCCTAAGCCTGCTCACTCCTTTTTGTTGTACTCATTGACATGTAAATTTTGTCTCTAACCCCTCCCTCTCGCTGCCTCCACCCCCTTCTGTCTATTTAAGGCCACCCCACAGAGACGATCACCCCTCTCTGTACCTGTGTTGCCCGCTGTATCTTGGTGATATCTGTCTGCTTATATGTCTGTCTATAATTTTTTCTGGTTAGATTTTATATCGCTATTTCATTATACCTGATGATGATTGCTTGTGTTGCAATCGAAACGTCGTATGCTATTATTTAATTTATCATTTTTTCTTTATACGTGACTTTACCGAAAGAACCAAAGAACAGATGTAGAGTATTTGGCTGCCCTAAATTTCCACGTGGTCATATCAGTCACTTCGTTGAGTTGCTATCATCTGTGATGGCCAGGTCGCTTCTGAAAAAGAGCTACTGCACAACAGCTCAGTGGGGCCTTACACCTGTTAAAAAAAATGGTTGAGTTTAAATACTAATATGCATCTTTGTACAATTTTGCAGGACTGTTATGCTACACTGGAAGTGCTGGTTTGGAGATTCCTGAAAAACTTACCACATGTGCAGCAGGGGAAGACTCGTGCGTGATGATGGAACTGACTCAGAGTAAGTGCTTCCAGGTCAAGGCTGCTGTATATTTGGAGTCTGCGTCTATCTCTCTCCCTGGATATGTTTCTCCCTCGCGTGGTTTTTATTAGGCAGTGGGTTCGATCCCGGACCCTGACGGTGCCTGTTGTATATTTGGAGTCTATATCTATCTCTCCCCGTGGATGTTAATTACCTCACCTGGTATGCAGGAGGGCGTGGGTCCGATCCCGGACCCTGACGATGCCTGCTGTATATTTGGAGTCTCTCCCCGTGGTGGTCACTGCATTGATTTTTCTTCGGGTAATCCGGTAATACAAGCATTTGGCTTAGAACCGATTGGTCTACACCAGAGACGGCAGCCTTAACGGCCTTGTCTCTGCACCAGTGTCAGACCAGAGAACAACGCCAAAAGATGAACGGTGCAAAGACAATGGCAAGTAGCAGAGCACTTACAGCTCGCGTTGAGCAGTGCTTATATCTGTAGTGTTTTTATTTCTGCGGACAACTTCTTTTTCTCCTGTGTTACTTTCATTTAACAGATCTCCTCGCGTTCGACACCCTGTAACTCTGTCGTCTTTTTCCCGCTTGCGCTGCTCGCCTGCTTCGCTCGCTCCGCTCCCCCTCTCTCTCAGACTCTCCACGGCTTACCTGTTCTCTCACTCTCCTGGTCTCTCCACTGCTAGCCTGTTCTCTCTCTCACTCTCCTAGTCTCTCCACTGCTAGCCTGCCTGGCACGCTCCTCTCACTTTTCTCTCTCTGCTGCTGTCCTACCACTACACACTCTGATAGCTTCCCACCGTACACTCCTCTAGCCTCTCCACTGCTAGCCTATTACTATACACTCGGATAGCTTCTCCACTACTAGCATCTCACGAAAACTTCTGCTAGCTTCTCTACTGCTAACTATATGCTCTGCTAGCTTCTCTACTGTTAACTAAACGCTCTCCTAGCTTTTCTATTGCTAGCTATCTCTCTGCTAGCTTCTCTTGTCTTCCCTCTTGTCTTCACTGCGACCAACTCCACTCTTTCTCTCACGCTCCCGTATATAACCCCCTCCTCATTAAATCGTCATTAATTAAGCAGGCAACCTACCGTCGCCTCACGCCCGTGGCTTCCGTCGTTATCGTCTCAATCTCCCGTCTGCCTGGCGTCTGTTCCGCGCCTGCATTTGCAGCCAGCCAATCACTGCTATGCATCTTAATGAGCCGTCTCCTTTTCCGTTGCTCCCTCTCACCGCACCTGGTCGCCCCGATGCAACCTCACTGTCTAACTCTCACATGCCTGCGCACTGCTTGCACCCCCCTACCGCGCGCGTAATTCCACTACACCCCCCCCCCCCTGATGAAAAAGCTAAAACACAACCAACACACTGCGCGATTAGTGGCACGGGTTAAACAACAACAACCTTTTGACAGTGTAACGCAATCAGTGGCCCGGGTAACAATGATGTGCCACAATAACAGGTGTATGTGTAGTGGAATGCTCCCGCAGTGCTTTCAACGGAAGGCCGTTGTTCCTCGGGAGCGGGTTCCAGCTGCCGGTCCGTCACCCCTGAATGAATCAACTTGCGGCAAGGAAGGGGAACGCTCAATACTTGACAAGGAGCTGCATCTCGTCCTTGTTGCGACTTTTCCCTCGTGACGGTGGCCATTCACTGGTGAGCTGGCACCCCGCTTCCGTGTCTCCCAGGGTGCATCCCGAGGTTGCGGTTGGCCAACCGGCTCCCGTTCCAAGAGCCTGCCAGTCAGCTCATCCCGTGCTAATAGTGGTGGTCCTGCAGGCACATGGGGGACAGACCGCTGAGGCGCGTCCACATGCGACCATACCACAGGTTCGTTGGACACATCCAATATAGGCCGCTTCGGGATGGGGGATGACGTATCATACGGAGGAACAAATTTCTTAAGGCGCGACAGGTGAACGTGCCATTGGCGCCGGCCAAAGCGAATACGTACACTCTGGTCCCGACGAGTTTCCACAATCTCGACGGGACCCTGCCAGGGCCGATGGAGCTTTGGTGATGTGCCCACTGGCACCATGGGGCAGTTCAGCCAGGCCTTGTCCCCCACATGCCAGGGCTCCCGCGGAGACTGTGTGCCATGCAGGCATTCATTGGCTGCATGTCGTCGCGCCGTGTTACCCAGTGAGGCCTCTCTTGCCTCATTCAGTCGGTCTAACGTCACCTGCATGGGGACAGATACGGCCGACGTCTTCCCCGGTGTACACACGCCCAACCTGACCAGGGCAGGGGTCTCGGGCTCTCGTCTGTAAATTAAATAAGATGGTGAATACCCTGTCGAGGCATGTGGGGCTAATCTGTAAGCGGCTAGGGCACCCGGAATGTGCAGGTCCCAATCGTTCTGCACTGCATTCACCTGTTGGCATAGCATATACGTTAGTGTCCTATGCAGGCGTTCGACCATCCCGTCGGTTTGCAGGTGGTACGGGGACATCCGAATCTTTCTCGTTCCTAGCAAATCACACACCTCTTTAAGCAACCGGGAGGAAAATTCTTGCCCTGGTCGGTGAGCAGTTGTTCTGGTGTGCCTAAATCAAGGACATATCCCTGCAGGAAAGCCTCGGTGATTGAACCCGCAGATTGGTCCACCAATGGCCACGCCATAGGCTATCGGGTGAGGTACTCGACCCCTTCGAGCAAGTTCTTGTGGCCTCTCGGGTGATGGGGAATGAACCCAAAATATCTAGGGCAACACTCTCGTTAACACGGGAGACCTTAATGGATTGTATTGGAACCCGGTATGGCTGCGCAGGCACCTTCCACCGCGCCACCACTCGTGGCAAGATTGAACGAATTGATGCACGTCGTTTTGCATGCCTGGCCAATACAAATCTTTGCACTAAGGTCAGTGCGTTTTTTTTCACGCAAATGCATACGTTTTTCGTGCGTATCATGAATGAGCTTGCCCCGCAGACACAAGGGCACGACAATACAGAACTTCTGCAGTTCGACGTCCCATTGTACGAGGAGTCCGTCGACAAGCCGAAGGAAAGGGCGATCCACCGACTCTGAAGCGAGAAGCCCGAAGCCTCATCCTGGTCAAGGAGGGATCCTCCACTTGTAGGCGCCTCCAATCGGCCAGCGTAAGGCCCAATATGCCATTCCCCTGCGCGAACAAACTATCAGCTGGTACCGAATCAGCTGCGGCGGCCATCGCTGGAACCGCCTGCAGTGGTGGACTGCACCTATAGTGAGCCTTCTGCACACCTTCAGGAGTCTGATGGCTGCGGCAATCGTGACAAAGCGTCTGCGTCGACATGACGTGTCCCCTTCCTATGCTGGACCGTAAAAGAATATCCTTGCAGGATTGCGAGCCAACGGGCCATTTGGCCCGAGGGCTGGTCAACCCGCAAGGAGTATTGCAGTGCCGCGTGGTCAGTACGGCCAGTACAGTTGTATGAGGTGCACAATGGCCAGCAGCTCCCTGCGTGTTATGCAATATCGTTGCTCTGCGGAGACAACACACGGCTGACGTATGCTACAACCTTCTCAACACCGTCGAACATTTGCAACAAGACGGCGCCTATGCCAGTGTCACTGACATCGGTGTCGAGGGTAAACATCTTGGAAAAATCTGGGTATCCGAGCGGCGGTGAGTCCGCCAATACACCCCGAAGTGTCTCAAATAAACGCTGTTCCTCTTCGCCCCAAAGGAACTTCTTACCCTTAGCGGTCAAGGTATGCAGCAGTTTTGCCATTGTTGCGAAATTTTTGACAAATCGGTGGTAGTACGATCCAAAACCCATGAAGCTATGTACCTCTGACACTGTTTTCGGAACTGGCCACATGCGTACACAGCTCGTTTTGTCCGGATCAGTGGCGACTCATGATGCGCTAACAACATAACCCAAATATTTAACAGATGTTTTCAGCAAGTGGCACTTTTGGGGCTTAAATTTTAATTTGGCGTCCCGCACTCGGCCAAATATGGCACACAATCGCTGCAAATGCTCGTCAAAATTTTTACTGAAAACAATGACATCATCTAGATATATCAAACACGATTCCCACTGCAATCCGGACAATATGAGCTCCATTAGATGTTGGAAGGTGACCGGCGTGGAGTGGAGTCCCATCGGGAGCATGTTGAAATGGAACAACCCTTGCGGTGTTCAGAAGGCTGTTTTCGTCTTGGACCCCTCGTCTAGGAGCAGTTGCCAAAAGCCTGATAAGAGATCGAGGATCAATAAAAATTTCGCGCCAGACAGGGCGTCCAACGAATCGTCAATCGTGGAAGTGGGTTTGCATCCGCAACCAAAATCTTATTAAGTTTTCGAAAATCAATGCAAAATCGCAGGGAGCCATTGTGTTTTTAACCAGCACGATGGGAGCCCCCCATGGGCTTTTGGAGGCAGAGACAATCTCCTGTTCCAGCATTTCGTCCACAGTTTGCCAAATGCAGTATTTTTCCAGCGGGCTCATTCGATGGGAATTTAGACAAATTGGGGGTGCATCCTTCGTGTCTATGTGATGCCGCAACAGGGATGTCCGACCAATATCATATTTTCCCGAACTGAAAACATTCCTAATTTCCAAAAGTAGTTTATGGAGACGCGACTGCTGCTTGGGTGTCAGATCGTGGTTCTGCTCATACAATCCCCGCAAACAATCGGGCTCCTCGTCACACAGTGGCAGTGCATCCCCCACTCCCGTTGCCATGCACATCTCCACGTCCGAACCTGACGCTGCCATGGCATGCGCCAGCGTAGTTCCCTCTTGAATGACAATGGACTTGTGCCACGCATTGACCATCTGCATGAATGGGTCTCAATTTGCTGACACCACCATTAAAGCCCCAACCAAGGAGGGTGTCCGTGGCTCAGTGCTCGAAGGGGTTAGTAATATCCCTTCAAGTGGGTTTCTCAAAGGCAGGTTTTTTTTCCAAGCGCAGCGGCACGAGCATTTGTGTGGCTGGCAGAACACGCACCGTGTGGCTAACCACATCCTGCACCACGGCGTTTGCTGCCATGAAGTTAGGCGGAGTCCCCCAAGAATTTGAGGCACTTCCCAGAAGGCATTTCCAAACAGCCCCTCTCTATGGAGATCTTGAGAGGCATCCTTTGCAAAAAATCCATGCCCAATAAACACAGCACAGCCAGGGCTGCGGAAACAAGGATGTGTCCTGTCACACACACCTCCCCAATTTGAAACGTGGCAAGCATGCGGCCCAAAATCCCCAGGCTACCCCCATTTGCTACTATACACAGCCCATCAACCGGCGCCGCCACGTGGCCGATGGCCCGCGGAGACTCCCGACGTGGCCCAGCTTCCAGCTCCCACCAACTGACCCCGAGCCCCTTCCGGCTCCCCCTTATATCCCCTTCCCACGTCACCCAGACTCCGCCCTTCGCTACACCCCTTAAGAACCTTCCAGATAATACCCCTCCCTTAACGCCCCCGGGCTCTGCCCTTAGACCCTGCCCCCGATGCTTCGTGGCGCCTGATTGGCTTAGGGGCTGGGGCGGCGAAACCCCACATACGCTCACATTACAGATGTAAACACATCTTAATTTGCCTTATGCCCTGCAGTGTGAACAATTCTAGATCTTTCATTGATTGCCATGTAAGTGTAGTGACATAAGAGGGGAGGGGCTGCTGGGGGCTCTGGGACCCTAGACAGATAAGCCCTAGATGCCAGGCGCTGGGATCCCAAGCACCCCAGACAGTTAAGCCCCTTGGCGCCACCAACGGGGGGGGGGGGGGGGGGGGGCTGTGTGTGCTCTGTGGGATATCTGGGGGCGCACACAACCCCACTCCTCATTGGAGACGAGGCATAAAAGGGCAGCTCCCTGGCCGATCGGGCCAGTTGTAGCTCAAGACCCAAGACCCAAGACCAGCCATCTTAGGACCCTGGACCCCCTCGTCCCGCTTGTCCTTGTAAGGGCCGGGATGCTGTGAGGGCCAGTGGTGGGACTCTGGAACTCCCGGCTCTACGTCCTTGTAAGGGCGAGCTCCGAGGAAGCCAGAGTCCAGACCCGCACCTTGGCTCGGTCGGGTCAGATAGCCTCCCCTAGGGTAGTTGTAGCCAGAGGACCCCAGAGCATAGCCAGAGTAGTATATCTAGGCTGTGTACCTAGGCTGTGTACCTAGGCTGTAACAGAGTATGAGGACTGAATGGAGTGTTGTATTGTAATAAAGAAGTTACCTCTACAAGTGTCTCAGGAACCCATTACATAAGCATTAGAAGGTTATTGCGGCTGATTTTGTTCCACTGGTTGTTGCACAGGAATAGCAACTGAATGTACATCAGCGATGTTTGCTTCTTAATTGATTGTTACATCCCGATCAAGTAAGATTGTTTTGAATTATCCAGTTGAGTGCATTGTAAACTTATTTCCGACTTATAGAGAATTCACGTGTGATGCTTAGATTCTCAAGATGTTTTGTGATGACAACAATTGCGGTATTATCCATTGCTCATGGAAGTGTGTCACTAACTTGAAAGATGTACATAGCAAAGAGCACTTCCTGTCCACGGAAGCCATATTTCTGAAGACTCCACAGAATTTGATGATCTTGACAAATGGTATAACACTTGATAATAGACGTTCTGGCTGTGTTAAGGCTGGAATCACATCTGGAATTTCACCAGGATCCAAATAATTCCAGTGAGTTTTGGCGGTGCAGCTATTTTATCACTGTTGATGTGTGTCTTGCAACGTGAACGCATTTTCAATGTCTGCTTTGATGACAATTCGGTTGGTAGATAGTGCAATGCATTTTCATTACGTCGTACTCTGTCAGTCTGATTTGGATAGGAGCGTTTGTTGCAGACTTCACAGATTTTATGACAATGTATTGATTTTATTGTCAAATGTTGTCATGTCGTCAGCATTGAGTGCTTGAAGATGTTGCGATTGATAATGACGATTTCGCTTTCATATGACATCACGTGCTTCAAGTCTTCTGCAACTCTGAATTGTCATGTGTGTTCACGCACAGATTTCAATCGACCATCACGAGTGTTTCTTGATTTCTTGATTGTGATGTTCAGTCTCGTTGCAATCAAACATTACGTGCTTCTGGTGTTTCATCATGAAAATGATCACGTAGTTTGTCAAGTCTGGCGCGCTTTGCCTCTTCATCTTCATTTTGCTACGATTTTCTTGGTACTTTTGCCGAGCCTTTCTAACCGTCACTTTCGTTGCGTTGCAGTTTATTTTTGCTTTTTCTTCCCATGATCCATTGTTTGTTTACCAAATGTTATTACCGTTTACCGTAGGTCCTTTTTTTGTTTGATTTGTTGGTTTGCATTTTTGTTGGCACGAGTATAGGACAAATGACTTTGGGTCAAAGAGTGGCTGGCAATTTGTGATAAGTCAGGGCTTGAACTCATGAGCTGAGAGTTGAAAATGTTAAAATAAAAGTCACGTTTCCAAACTTCAGTCAACTTATCAAGCACAGACAACTCACTCTTAAATATCCTAGAGTTTAAAGCTCTATATTAAGTACCAAACATTTAATTGAAAAAAAAATACAAATTTCATCCCCAAGATTGAACTTTGAGCTTTAGATCGAAAGGCCAACACGCAAACGATTTGTCGACCACAAACAGCTTAATAAAAAAATGAATAAAACATCAATACAAATGTTAAAATGTCATACTCTTTGGACATTTCGTTTCCCCAAAATAACAATCACCACAAATGCAACTCAGTTTTGTAGACTCCAGGGAACTGTAAGTTTGGAATGACATCCTTTACGGATGAGATCAGATCACGGATTTTGTGTACTTTACTGAATCGGACCTGGATCTTGTGTTTGTTTAATATTTTGGAAAAAAATTTGGTAACGCCTGCTATGTATGGTAACGTGATGGTTTTGATCAGAGTCTCAGGTGGTTGTTTCTCCATGGTTGGAGAAACAGCTTTGCGGATAATACGGTCCGTATATCCATTCATCTTGAGGGCCCGGTGTACATGTTCCAATTCACTGGCCAGGTGGTGTTGGTCAGAAATACAGTGGACCCTATGGTGTAGTGTTTTGATGAGGGAATTATTCTGTGCCGGTTGATGGTGGGAATCAGGTTTCAGATAGGAATCTGTGTGGGTGGCTTTTTTGTAGTCACGAAAACTTCAAATCTAGAATTTAAATGTCACTATTCAATGGGGTTAGTGCAAAAATGAAGTCACTGACCCTGTCTATGCATTGTCCCATTGGATGCACTACATCACAATAAATAACTTTTGTAAACACACCAAAGCATTTGATGTGGCTGTTTACCTTGAAGGAAAAAAGAAAAAAGTACAAAAAGAATATGTTCCCGGCAAGTTTTGAAGTGTCTACTCCTACGTTGGTATTAACATATATATTTTAACAACACCTGTTTGCAAAGCACTCCTGGAATAATGCTTCCATACCAAATATTAATCAGTTTAAACGAGGCAAGTAATTGATTAATTATTCGCGATTCTGATTCAGGCATGCATTGTGTCTGGATGTCAGTGTGCGCAAATTTGGGATCGGTTGGACAACGGCAACTGGACGACATTTTGATTACAAGATTTGACGACGACATACAATGAAACTTATCTTCATAACTTCGTTTAACTCACTGTCGAGAAGTACGTCAATGATGTGGTGCCTGCTCCCACATCAACGATTACTTGAATTAATAGGTTATTTTATAAATGAATCTTCAATGTACAACTTTTGTGTGGAGGGTGCCTGTAAGTCATTGACATGGAGTGCCTGTTTCTTCGGCAAGCCGAATCCAGAGTTTAGGGACCGCGGCGTTTTTGACCACGACAAATATATATAATTAAAGTTTATTGCTTTCAAGGAGCCAATTATATGATTATTTGATTTTGATACAGGCATGCATTGTCACTGGATCTGAATACGTGTGCAAAATTCGGGATTGATTGTATAACAGGAAGTGGACGAAATGTAGATTACAAAATTTGACGATTTCACCACGACATAGCAGTCAAGTTAAAAATAATGAAAATATAAGAATAGGCTTCGTACCCTTTCCGGCAATAAAACAGAGGTTGTGTTAAGATGTTCAAACACCAAATAGATACTTATTGTACGGAATCATGTACAGCATTAACCACACACAGTACTCGTGGTAAACATGCAAACGAATGTGCTCTAATAATATATTGTAATATATCAAAGCATGTGAATTTGCGATCGGTGAACTTAATACATTTGTCACAAAACCGCGATGTCTAAATCCTCTTATTTTGCACATTTTGGGATGCGCTTTACCAACAACAAAAACGTTAGATTTCATCACGTACACGTGCTAATTTTTTTTGTCGTTTATACTTAATTGCAGATTTTTTTGTTCTTTTTCTTCTTCTCTCCAATTACATTTCCATTCCAGGTGGCATTCCTTACCAGGCCAGAACCTGTGCCACAAGAGTACAGTGCGATGCGTTCGACTTCAAGGACCAGATGAAACAATACATCCTCAGATTACTGCTGACGTTCAATGGCACCGTCGATAGCACCTCCTGCTGCCAAACAAGTTCGTGCAACAATGGTAATAAAAAAAAAACTCTATATTTGGGTGGTTTTTCCTGAAAAACCTAAATGCGGTACCATACAGGCTGTCCCGGGGATATGAAACTTCTAGGCTTACGAACGCCCGCATGCTTATGACCGCCCACGCTTATGACCACCCTTGTGCTTACGAACGCTCGCATGCTTACGAACAGCTGCGTGCTTACGACCGCCCGCACTTACGAACATTCCCTGTAAGATGAACCGCGGAACTACTTTGTTCGGCGGAGCGATCCTCCGCTAGATGTGATGAGACCCGCATCCCCCGTGTTGCACTCCCCTTCCGACAAGTGAGCTAGCATCAGGACTCAAGGTGAGCGAAAATAACTGATTATTTTATTCATGTTACTTTATTTGACGTTTAATTTCATTCACTATACAGTATTTATCGCAGTATTACGTGAAAATGTACAATGTCTTATTTGTGAGTTTTACAATGCTTCCCTGCATTTATTGAACCCGTATCACTTTTTTATGGGACTGACCATATTTACTGTACAATTACCTATTGATGTCTAAGATACGACAAAAATCCACTTACGAACGGCTCTCGGGAACATAAAACCCGTTCAAACATAAGTCAAGGACTTTCTGTATGTACGTTTGGTTCGCGTTCTTGAAAACCTGAACCGTGTACTGTTAAATATAACCGTACCAAAAATATCATCGTCTTTTCACGTAATATACAATTATATACAGTGAGGGAAATCCTGCTGATTTTGTACGTTTGCCCACTGACAAAGAAATTATCAGTCTATAATTTTAATGGTAGGTTTATTTGAACAGTGAGAGACAGAATAAGAACAACAAAATCCAGAAAAACGCATGTCAAAAATGTTATAAATTGATTTGCATTTTAATGAGGGAAATAAGTATTTGACCCCCTCTCAATCAGAAAATTTCTGGCTCCCAGGTGTTTTTTATACAGGTAATGAGCTGAGATTAGGAGCACACTTAAAGGGAGTGCTTTTAATCTCAGCTTGTTACTTGTATAAAAGACACCTGTTCACAGAAGCAATCAATCAATCAGATTCCAAACTCTCCACCATGGCTTTAGTTGCTGCAGCTCCATACTATTAACATTCCTTCCCTTTATTAATGCTAACCCTACTCTCTCCCTTTCATGCTGATAATCCTGCATAATATGACTTTGAAACCCCCCCCCCCACCTCCTACGCATTCCACAATTAGTGACTAATCCCATATCTGCATTTCCCATAAATATGCTAAATTCTTCTTGATATGCAAATTCCTTTGTCAAGGCACTCTTCCCCCTTCCAACCCAGCTTAAATATATGCTGCCAAGCTTGGTGGTGCTCATTCAGACGCTGTCTTTCCGACAGACCTGTTCTTCACCTGAGGACGGCTGCTTGCGTTGTGGCCGAAACGTCGTGAGAATTATTTTATTACGTTTTATTTTTATTATTTTATTATTTCCCTTCTACGTGACTTTACCGAAAGAACCAAGAAGATAAATCCCTGCAGTCACGAAAGCTTTAAATCGAAATTTAAAGATGTTAACTTTGTCTATTTGATAATTATTTAAGGAATGTAATTTGGGAAAAATATCTTACTGCTTTAGTCCTGTTGAGAAGCATAGCACCTTGGTTTTGCAGGTATTCAGGACTAGTTTAAGAGAAACTAGCTAATGTTGTAGTTTGTTGAAATCACCCTGAAGCTTAGCAATCACTTCATCTGGAGAGCGGCCAGCAGTAATCAGTATCGTGTCATCTGCAAAAAGATTTACCCTGGAATGATCCAGGTCAGTGCCCAAGTCATTGACATAAAGAGAGAACAAGAGGGGGCCGAGGATGGAACCATGTGGAACCCCTTTTGTTATCTTAACACTGTTTGACCTCCAACCATTTGTGAATACAGTTTGGGTGCGAGAAAAGAGGTAATTTTTTTACCATTTTACTGCGTTTTCGGAAAAACCGAGGCAACTTGGTTTACTAAGCAGGGTGTTGTGGTCTACTGTATCAAAAGCTTTGGAAAAGTCAAGACAGGCGCAGTACTGCTACTGTAAATGTGATTCAGAGAAGTCTTATGCAGCAGATGTGGTGCTGTATTTTTTTTGGAACCCAGATTTTTTAGATGTAATAGATTGTTGGCTGACAGGACTCTGCTAATTTGGTAATTCAATAATTTTTCAACATTTTTCATCAACAGGGACAACATTGAGATAGGTCGGTAGTTATTTGGATCATCTTTAGGACCCCCTTTGTGAAGTGGACGAACATAGGAATGTTTCCGTTCTAGAAGAACTGGTGCTTATTTGATGGACAGGTTGAAAATATGGGCTATAGGTTTGTATATTAGGTAACCAACAGTTAGTAGAGCATAGACGGGAATTCTATCTGCTCCGGTAAAGGGAGGACCCTTTGAGTTAGGACAGTTGTTTCAGAACATTACTTTCGTGGATTGGCTGGAAACGGAATTCGTTTAATGTTTGGACAGGGGTGTAGGAATTTGCATGAGCAGGGGTGACTCCCAATACATTATCAAAAATGTTACCAGCTTCAGAAAAATGAAGGTTAAAATTGTCAACTATTTTTTTGGGATCTGAAAAATATTACCCATTTCGGTTAAGCTCAACGGGCAGATTATCTGTTTTAGATGCCTTTTCGATACATTTGATTGTTTTCCAGAAAATACTGGCTTTTCCATGTGATTCCAGGAGAGTGGAGGAAAAGTTGACAATTTTTGCATACCGTATTTTATTGACGCATCTATTCCTTAAAATCCTGTATTCTATCCAGTCATTGACCAAATTGCTTTTCTGAGCACATGCCCAAGCCTTGTCCCTAGTTTTCATGAGCTTAGTAATCAAAGGATCAAACCATGGTGGGCAGTTGCTTTTAGTTTGAAATCTAACCAACGGAGCATGTTTGTTAAGAATTTGGAGAAACGTGTACCTGAGTCTCCAAAGTCGTAGTCAGGTTGGATATATCACAGACCTTATCAATATCCAAGTGAAGCACATTCATTAGTAAATGCCTGAGTGCTGAAGTGTCTCATGGAGTGCTTCTCAACCAATTTAGGGGGGCTTTGGGTCTGACTGATGATCTCACCCCAAAAATGAAATAGTGATCACCAAGGTTATTACCCAGAACACCAGTCAGTGCGAAATTGTGAGGGGCATTTGTCAATAGGACGTCAAGCAGAGATGATTTTTTTTTGGTTGGGTCTTGTGGAGAAATTTATTAATTGAAATAGGTTAAATTCATCTGCAAAATTGGTGGCCACGGCCGGCGGGTTTACCCAATTCCAATTTAGATCACCCACTAAAACTATTTGACCTTTAGGGAGGGCCCCAAGAAGCTCTCTCAGTGCAGAAGCAGCTTCAACATCGTCCGCACTAGGCGATCTATAGCAGCACACTACCAATATCTGTTGATTATTTGCGATAGTTATTCTGAGAGCCAGACCTTCAAAGCAACATTTTTTATACAAGGCGTGAGCTGGTGAACATGTGTCGTGCCGTAGATGGGCCACACTTACCGGCAGTGGTGGACAGGGCCCATCTGTAGCTATCTCGGACCCCCAGGGAAGGGGCCACTGTGCCAGCCCAAAAGGGGGGGGGGCTGCTGAGGGCTCAGGATCCTAGGCAGCTAAGCCCTCGGCGCCGGGGCCTCAGGATCTCAGACAACCCAGACAGCTGAGCCCCTTGGCGCCACCAACAGGGGGCTGCGGGGGATCTAGGATCCCACGCAACCCCACCCTTTGATGGGCAAGGGGGATAAAAGGGCTGCTGCCCAGCCGATCGGGGCTAGTCGCAGCTCAAGATCCAAGACCAGCCAGCTTAGGACCTGGACCCCCTCGCCCCGCTTGTCCTTGTAAGGGCTGGGACGCTGTGCGGGCCAGTAGTGGGACTCCCGGCTCTACACCCTTATAAGGGCTGTAATGCTTGCTGGGTCGGGTCAAGTAGCCTCCCCTAGGGTAATTGTAGCTAGAGGACCCGAGAGCGTAGCCAGTGTCAGGCACGCTAGAAGTAGGCTGTGTCCCTAGGCTGTGTCCCTAGGCTGTAACATAGTATCAGGACTGTTGGAGTGTTGTATTGTAATAAAGAAGTTACCTCTACAAGTGTCTCCGGATCCAATTACACATGCAATAGTATTACTAACATCGATGGTAATTCCACCTCCTTTAGATCCTCGGTCACGCCAAAAGAGGCTGTAGTTGTCAATCGTAATCTGCAAGTTATTTATGGCAGGAGTGAGAAATGTTTCTGGTAGGCAAAGAATGTCCGGATCAAGATTTGCCACTTCTAGTTTTAGTTGACATAATTTAATCACAAGCCCTCTGATGTTGACATGTAGAACACCAACACCTTTTCTGCCAGAAAAATCTGCAGAATTATACGAGTTCTTTACATTTGAGCCAGGGTGAAGCTCAATACCACCCAGAAATAATAAAAGTTGAATAGTTTGCACAGGTATTTTCTGTGAAAGGATGAAGAGCGACGAACCTTGGACGAATAGCAGCAACTCGCAGTTGGTGGTATTTTAAAGAGCAGAATGACGTTTGGAAGGAGTGCTGGTGAAGTAATGGGACAAAGATAGGGTTTAAAATGATACAATGATGGAATGTAGAAGTGTCTACAAGCTGTTTCATTAGCAGGTGTAGCGGGAAATCGAGCAACAAGTATGGACGCAAAGTCACGAGGGTAGCCGTTTGTAGAGTTGAGTGTGGCACTAAATATGGCCGGGAGGGACAGCAGGATAATTACCATCTTTAAAATATCCGGGGTACATACAGTTTAACACACAAGCGGAAAAGAAAAAAAACATATACTTGTAGGCCGAGCACGAGAATACGTCTTGCCGCACTCGTCACGCATGCACGGCTTCTCGCCCATTTGTTAGGGTTGAACAGCCACCCCCCCAGACAGGGACAGCAGATTCTTGGTTGCTGTGGCTCCGCTGTAACGCTTGCACCGCCACCTTTCACCGCCGCAGGATGGTGCTCGAGCTAGCCCTCCTTGAGCTCAGTCTACTGCTGGAATGTCGTTGTTTGGCCTCTCGTGTCTCTGTTTCAATGCTGTGGGCACACATGACATTGTTTTCTCTGACACCAAGGTGCTCTGCAAACCCTCGGGCGACCATCAGAATTTTGTTCATGAAGCCATCCAGATATACAAACACTGACAAAACTTTATTCGAGAAGATGGATTCAGATTGAGCAATCATTGGAAGGACGTGATAAACCACGTCATGTTTTAACTGCTGTGATTTTCACTCACCCACCCGTCACGTTTTTCGTTTTAGTGTACGAATTCAAGCTCATTGACATGCCAAATTCTCCAGCTCCACTCCACCCCGTGCCAGCCCCCACCCATCCCTGCACGCCACAAACCCTCTCCCCGTGAACTCCTGCAGCCACGACGCTACAAAACGCTCCCCCTCCCGTACCTATATAAAGCCACAACAGCAGATCATTCTCTCTCACCCGAAGGACGCTTGTGTTGCGACCAAAACGTCGTGTTTCTTTTATTTTTTAAATCTACGTGACTTTACCAAAAGAAACAGAGTATGGATTCCTGCAGTCACGAAAGCTTAAAATCAAAACTACCATACGCTATAGGAGAACTGTAATTTTCTAACCAGAAACTGTGGTGCACATCGTGTGAGGTGTTGGAGGGGTGTGGCTGTTACATTGAGAGTGACTATACTCAAAGCGAGGTCTAGTAGGCGCCACGATGGCTCGGAGATGTTAACTACCTCACCTGATATGCAGGAGGTTCGTGAAGTTTGACCCTGAAGATGCATGCTGCTGTTATATGTGGAGTTTGCATCTCTTTATCCCCCGTGATGGTTGCATGGATTTTTAAGCCGGGACCTCCGATATTTCTCTTCACATTTAGAAACACGGGTTTAGAGTATTTGGCTGATGTACATTTCCACGTGACCATATCAGTCACTTCGTTGAGTTGATATCATCTGTGATGGTCAGGTCGCTTCTGAAAAAAGAGCTACTACATAATAGCTCAGTGGGGCCTTACACCTGGTAAAAGAAATGGTTGAGTTTAAATACTAATACGCATCTTTGTACAATTTTGCAGAACCAACTGTTTATTGCAAAACCGGAAGTGCTGATTTGGGGATTCCTGAAAAATTGATGAAATGTCCAATCGGGCAAGACTCATGCGTGACGATGCAACTGACTCAGAGTAAGTGCTTCCAGGTCAAGGCTGCTGTATATTTGGAGTCTGCGTCTATCTCTCTCCACCTGGATATGTTTATCGCCCTCGTCTGGTATACATTAGGCAGTGGGTTCAATCCCGTACCCTGACGATGCCTGCTGTATATTTAGAGTCTCTCCCCATGGTGGTCACTGCATTGATTTTTTTTCGGGTCCTCCGGTAATATAAGCATTGGGCTTAGAACCAATTGGCCTACACCAGGAGACGGCAGCTTTCTTAACGGCCTTGTCTCTGCACCAGTGACAGACCAGAGAACAATGCCAACGACAATACCGAGTATCGGAGCACTTTCAGCTCGCGTTGAGCAGCGCGTCTATCTATGGCATACCTTTGATGCCAGTATAAAAGTTATTAAAAGATAACAATAAGCTTCGTACCTTTTCTGGCAATACAACAGACGTTGTGTTAAGATGCTCATCATGTACAGCATTAACCACACACAGTACTCGTGGTAAACATGCACACGAATGTGCTGTAATAATATATTGTAATATATCAAAGCATGTTCATTTCCGATCGGTGAACTTAATACATTTATCACAAAACCGCGATGGCTAAATCCTCTTATTTTGCACATTTTGAGATGCGCTTTACCAACAACAAAAACGTTAGCTTTCATTACAAACACGTGCAAATTGTATGTCGTTTCTACTTAACTGCAGATTTTCTTTATCTTTTCTCCAATTACATCTCCATTGCAGGTGGTATTCGCTACTTGGCCAGAACCTGTGCCACAAAAGAACAGTGCGGTGTGTCCAACTTCAAGGACCAGATGAAACAGTACATCCTCGGAAAACTGTCGACGTTCGTTGGCAACGTCGATAGCACCTCCTGCTGCCAGACAAGTTATTGCAACTACGGTAATAAATAAAAAATCACGGTGGCGTACTTCAATGTGTTTGGGTTGTTTTCCTGAAAAATCTAAATGTGGTACCATACAGGCGGTCCCGGGGATACGAAACTTATGGGCGTATGACCACCCGCGTGCTTACGAACAGCCCGCGTGCTTACGAACAGCCCGCGTGCTTACGGACAGCCCGCGTGCTTATGACTGCCCGCGTGCTTACGAAGGCTCACGTGCTTACGATCGCCCGCACTTACGAACATCCCCCGTAAGATGAACTGCGGAACTACTTTGTTCAGCGGAGCGATCCTCCTCTAGATGTGATGAGGCCCCACATCCCGCGTGATGCACTCCCCTTCCGACAAGGGAGCTAGCATCAGGACTCGAGGTGAGTGAAAATAGAACCGATATTTTTTTTCATGTTACTTTATTTTATGTTAAACTAGCGGTAAGTACCCGGCGTTGCCCGGGCAAAAAAGACAGTCACACACATGGACTTACACACACTTTCTATGTACATGAGTTTAGTGGAAGAAGGTTGGAACAGAAATATAATTGGTCCACACACAAACATTATGAATGTAATATTATGAAGGTGATTATTGAGAAAAAATGTTTCTACAGTGAGGGAAAAGAGTATTTGATCCCCTGCTGTTTTTTTTACGTTTGCCCTCTGACAAAGAAATGATCAGTCTTTAATTTTAATGGTAGGTTTATTTGAACAGTGAGAGACAGAATAACAACAAAAAAATCCAGAAAACGCATGTCAAAAATGTTATAAATTGATTTAATGAGGGAAATAAGTATTTGACCCCCTCTCAATCAGAAAGATTTCTGGCTCGCAGGTGTCTTTTATACAGGTGTAGGACCTGAAATACATGCGCCACACATTCGGTTGTTCTGTTGCTATACAAGCGAGCAGAGTACAGTAGGGGGTATCCGGGGAAGGGGTTGTTGTCGGGCGCGGGGAGGAGACGCCGTTAAGTGGCGACAGGTGTTAAGGGTAACCGAGCACACAGGACAGTGATTGGCTAGGAGGTTGAGTGCTTAATGAGTGGCGTCGCCCAGGCGGGAATAACAAGGCCACGTGAGGCTGGGGGCCTGGGGGCAAGTGGAAAAGCGGTGGGTGAGATAATTAATAGGGACTAATTGGTGCGGGGATAAAAGTCACAGCGTAACAGAGAGACGGGAGTCTTGGTGGGAGCTGGAGCGATGGGGAGCTGGAGTGATGGTGCCCGGGATAGCGAGGAGCAGGAGTAAGTAGAGGAGATACGATAAGAGTAACAGTGGAGAGAGATAGGGCAGAGTACAGTAACAGTGTAGAGAGATAGGATAGAGTACGGTAGCAGTGGATAGAGGAAACAGAGTGAGCGGTAGCAGTGGTAGCAGTGCATCGGAGAGATACAGAGTAGGGTAGCAGCGGAGTGAGGGACTCTGGGAGAGCAGGAGAGAGAACGGAGAGACATAGAGCGCCGTTGATGGTGGATAGCGTGACGGAGCGAACGGGGAGACACGGAGCGGTGATGAGGAGGTGTGGACTTTAAAGAGCAAATAAACGGAACGAGAAAGACAACCTGAGTACGAGTCCTACACAGGTAACGAGCTGAGTTTAGGAGCACATACTCTTAGGTTTTTTCGGTAAAGTCACGTAGGTAAAGTGATTTATTATTTTATTATTATTTTATTTCCATTATTACTTTTATTAACTTTTAATATAATTTTTTACCTACGTGACTTTACCGAAAAAACCTAAGAGTATGAATCCTTGCAGTCACGACAGCTTCAAATCTAGAATTAAGAGCACACTTAAAGGGAGTGCTCCTAATCTCAGCTTGTTACCTGTATAAAAGACACCTGTTCACAGAAGCAATCAATCAATCAGCTTCCAAACTCTCCACCATGGCCAAGACCAAAGAGCTCTCCAAGGATGTCAGGGACAAGATTGTATACCTCCACAAGGCTGGAATGGGCTACAATACCATCGCCAAGCAGCTTGGTGTGAAGGTGACAACAGTTGGTGCGATTATTCGCAAATGGAAGAAACACAAAAGAACTGCCAATCTCCCTCGGCCTGGGGCTCCATGCAAGATCTCACCTCGTGGAGTTGCAATGATCATGAGAACGGTGAGGAATCAGCCCATAACTACACGGGAGGATCTTGTCAACGATCTCAAGGCAGCTGGGACCATAGTCACCAAGAAAACAGTTGGTAACACACTACGCCATGAAGGACTGAAATCTTGCAGCGCCCGCAAGGTCCCCCTGCTCAAGAAAGCACATATACATGCCCGTCTGAAGTTTGCCAATGAACATCTGAATGATTCAGAGGACAACTGGGTGAAAGTGTTGTGGTCAGATGAGACCAAAATTGACCTCTTTGGCATCAACTCAACTCTCCGTGTTTGAAGGAGGAGGAATGCTGCCTATGACCCCAAGAACACTATCCCCACCGTCAAACATGGAGGTGGAAACATTATGCTTTGGGGGTGTTTTTTCTGCTAAGGGGTTAGGACAACTTCACTGCATCAAATGGACGATGGACGGGGCCATGTACCGTCAAATCTTGGGTGAGAACCTCCTTCCCTCAGCCAGTGCATTGAACATGGGTCGTGAATAGGTATTCCAGCATGAAAATGACCCAAAACACACGGCCAAGGCAACAAAGGAGTGGCTCAAGAAGAAGCTCATTAAGGTCCTGGAGTGGCCTAGCCAGTCTCCAGACCTTAATCCCATAGAAAATCTGTGGAGGGAGCTGAAGGTTCGAGCTGCCAAACGTCAGCCTCGAAACCTTAATGACTTGGAGAAGATCTGCAGAGAGGAGTGGGACAAAATCCCTCCTGAGATGTGTGCAAACCTGGTGGCCAACTACAAGAAACATCTGACCTCTGTGATTGCCAACAAGGGTTTTGCCACCAAGTACTAAGTCATGTTTTGCAGAGGGGTCATATACTTATTTCCCTCATTAAAATGCAAATCAATTTATAACATTTTTGACATACGTTTCTCTGGATTTTTTACGTGGTTTTTCTGTCTCTCACTTCAAATAAACCTACCATTAAAATTATAGACTGATAATTTCTTTGTCAGTGGGCAAACGCACAATCAGCAGGGGATCAAATACTTTTTTCCCTCACTGTATGTTATGAGCACAGAAACAAAAATAGTGTAATAATTCCAAGGTGATGAATGAAACAACAGTTTTGTATGTATATGATTGTAGCGTAAGAAGCAAGGAAACTTGTACTTACGATAGGCTTGGTGAGGCCTAGTCCCGTGCAGAGCCCCAGTCCTGGCCTACATTGCCAAGGCAGGGGAGGTAGCACTTTGGCAGGCTGGGGGCTGGGCCGCAACCCCCCTCCCCACCATCCCCCCGCCCGTGCAACAATAATGCTATCTAAGCATTATAATATTATCTACGGACTCTGTAGTATTAACTGGACGCATCATGTTGGGGGGGGGGGGGGGGCGAAGAGGACATCACACTGTGAAGAAATATCTACAGCATTACGTGTATATGTGTAATAAAACAGGTCGACGACAAGCGACTGGGTTCCGTGTCTTTATTTCTTCGTTATGGACAGCTCGCGTTCTGCTCTCCCGTTCGCCGCTGGCAGACGGCGCGCTGTGAGTCGTCTCCGCGCCGCCACGTGGCCGATGGCTCGCGGAGACTCCCGACGTGGCCTCAGCTTCCAGCTCCCGCCAACTGACCCCGAGCCCCTTCCAGCTCCCCCTTATATCCCCTTCCCACGTCACCCAGACTCCGCCCTTCGCCACACCCCTTAAGAACCTTCCAGATAATACCCCTCCCTTAACGCCCCCAGGCTCCGCCCTTAGACCCTGCCCCCGATGCTTCGTGGCGCCTGATTGACTTAGGGGATAGGGCGGCTAAACCCCACATACGCTCGCATTACATATGTATTGCATGTTAAACGCGTAAAAGAAAATGTCCACCCCCCCAGGAAGTTGTCATCAGTTGGTACGGTCGATGTTGCGCAAATAAGTAAATAATACAAAAAATTGCACAAATGTGGTAATTCAACTGCTTTAAAATTTACGGATGGGAAAACTGAATAGCGTATTCCCACAGCGGGGCTTAGGGAGTGCTGCTTGGCAAAAACAATTCTACGTAAGGCCCACCGTTCGAGTACCAAATCCGTCGCAAGCGCACTTGGAAACTTTTATATTTAAGATTTAATTTATTATTCACTATACAGTATTTATCGCAGTATTACGTGAACATGTAGAATGTCTTATTATTTGTGAGTTTAACAATGCCTCCCTGCTTTTATTGAACTCGTATCACATTTTTTACGGGACTGACGATACTCTTTGGTTCTTTCGGCAAAGTCATGTAGAAAGAAGATGACTTAAATAATAGAATACGACGTTTTGATTGTAACACACGCAATCGTCCTCAGGCACGAATGAACGAGAAAACAAACCTAGTAAACTTAGAAATATAATGCAGTACAACACAGAGTCGGCTAACATAACAATCAACACCCTACCTGGTTGTCTCTCTGCTTATGTCTGTCTGTGTGTCTGTGTTTTGTTTCTCTCTCAAGTTTAGACATCTTTGGAAGAACGTAATCAACCAGGTAGAGTGTTAACTGTTCTGTTAGCCGACTCTTTGTGGTATTGCATTATATTTCTAATTTTCTAGGTTTGTTTTCTCATTCATTCGTACCTGATGATGATTGCTTGTGTTGCAATCGAAACGTCGTATTCTATTAATGAATACGACTTCTACCTCGGTGTAGCATCGTCATCGTCATCGCATTGGAATGCTGCTGGATGCTTCTAGTCTTGCTACCTTAAACGTTCAGGTCCTGCGTTACGCGTCATCACCTCACGCATGATCGCGAACTGTGCTTTACCGCTTACATTATATTATTCATTATTACAACGCGATTGTCCTATGAAATGGTGGTCTTCAGGAATGCAACAACTACCACCACGTTATAGGAGAACAGACTGTACTCTGCACTGTAATTTTCTAACCAGAAACTGTGGTGCACATCATGTGAGGTGTTGGATGGGTGTGGCTGTTACCTGGAGAGTGACTATACTCAAAGCGGAGGTCTAGTAGGCGCCACGATCGCTCAGCGATGTTAACTACCTCGCCTGGTATGCAGGAGCTCGTGGGTTTGCTAGCGAATCTGATGGTGCCTGCTGTATATTTTTAGTTTGCATGTCTCTATCCCCTTGGTCACGTGGATTTTTCTCTGGGTCCTCCGGTTTTTCCCTCCACACTTAAAATCAACGTCACCACACGTTTACAATATTTGGCTGCTGCTAGAAATGTTCACGTGATAAGCCACATTGTTGAACTGCTGAAAATATGCTACATAGCTCAGTGGGGCATTACCTGGTAAAATAAAAGTTTTTAGTTTTCGTTTTATAGTTTAGGTTTAGAGTGTAGAATTAACTTTTTTCCTGCTCACTTCAGCCAGTGCAGCACAGTGAGGTTACGGATGAATACCGCAAATCGAGGCGTAAGGTGGACCTAGCCAAATGTGTAAGTCTAGGCCTAGCCTAATGTACGGTAAACGAACATTCGCAAGTGACCGCTCTCTGTTAACAATGAATATAAAAATGTTTCGTGGTATTTATAAATAATTGAATACAGTTTAATTAGTTTAATTATGGGTAGAAGTGCAAAGCGTATGTACAGCGATATGATACAGGTAGTGATAGCGCGATACACGACAATGCGATACAGTGCCGAGAGAAACGGTAGGGGAGGCTACAACTATTTCTGGATATGGGCTTTTATCTTGATGTAGGGGCAAAATTGTCTAGTTTCCAAACTATGGAAAATTCTGGTTATGGATCGTTCTATGTGTAATGCGGGCGTAAACGACCTTCCGGAAGTGACGTCATGGGGGGAGGAGTTACGTCACGTGGGGGAGAGGGTTCAGGTCTATAAGGGGAGAAACCGGAAGCAGTGGGGAGTGATCGGGGACTGGGAAAGTGTGAGGCCACGCAGGGCGGAGTGGGAGAGAGAGAGTGGCGAGATCGCCACACACACGGACCCCGAGGATCGGCACCGTCGGCCAACGGTGACCGACCCCGGGGCAGCAGGAGCAGCGAGGAGACTGCAGAGAGAGCAGCGGGTCTGCAAGGGCGGAGTTGGGCAGCGGGGGTCTGCACGACGAGACAGCAGCGGGTCTGCAAGGAGGGAAGTGGGCTACGTGAGCGACAGCAGCCTGGGGGCTGCAGAGCGAAGAGTATATAGGGGAGTGCTGTGAGGGGGCTACGTGAGCGATAGCAGCCTGGGGCTGCAGAGCGAACAGTAAGGGGGAGTGCCGTGAGGGAAAAGAGATCGAACCCAAATAAAGGACACAGGACAGAGAGAAGCGTCCGAGTCTTTTATTACATATGGAACGTAACCCTTCCGTGTAACCCAGGGACTGTCTGTATTGTGGATCATTCGTGGCAAGCGCTTTGTGTGTGTGTGTGAGTGCAACCTGCCATTGTGATTAAATTCACAGGATTTATTGAGCTTCCTCCCACGTTTTGCAGTGAGTCAATACTGCTATACTGGAATTGTCGGTTTGGAAGTTGCTGAAAAGAACACGTACTGCCCAGGGTTGCGATTTCCGCATGGAAAATGCGGAAGGAGGGTTCAAATTTTCCCGCATTTTTGCTAAAGTCAACCGCAAACGGTGGAAAGACTACTCCTATGACCGCGCGCTTTTAACAACACGTTAATGCGTTCTATTGGAAAGGATACATCATGTACATGTGCTCGTAATCACGGCTCCGCATTTGAATAAAGTATGTGGTTCTTGTGCGGAAATGCGGAAATCATATATTCATTCCAATCAGTAACTCAAAGCCCTACGTGATGCTGGGCCTTGCATGTATCCTTTCCAATAGAACGCATTAACGTGTTGTTAAAAGCGCGCGGTCATAGGAGTAGTCTTTCCACCGTTTGCGGTTGACTTTAGCAAAAATGCGGGAAAATTTGAACCCTCCTTCCGCATTTTCCATGCGGAAATCGCAACCCTGGTACTGAACCCTGGTACTGCCGTTCTGGACAAGACTCATGTGTGACTGCACTGCTGATTCAGGGTAAGCTATTCAAGTGAGGCCATGATTTAGCTACACACCTGAATGCAGTGATAGGGCTTTGGGTAGTGGTAATGACAGGGATAGAGATAGGGGTAGTGATTAGTGGTAGTGATAGTGATCGGGGTGAGTGATATGGGTCGTGATAGGGGTTGTGATTTTGGCTAGCCATCGAACAAACATGGTCATCGCAGCGCGAACTTTCAGATGAGCTGCGGCCATCATTAATGCTCTTCCTTCTGATATTAGGAATCCACTGGGAGCTGTGCACTTTTAAATAATTGAGATTGATGAACTTCTTTAGAACTGCTTATTGAGGTATATTTAGTTGGTCATCCTTCCCCAGCACCTCCGATTAGCTCAACAGCTGGGCTACGTTATGGTGCGGTATTTATCACAGCGCATGATGTGGAAAAACGTGAGGGATGATCAGAAGTCTTTCTTGTCTCTTCCAGCAAGGTATTAACAACTTGATCGCGATGCAAATGCAGCCAGCCTACCCTGTCCCTCTAACGAGGTGAGGGGGCGGGACGTATCAGCTAAATAGACGACCACAACAATGATTACAAAATAATTAAATTAGGTAGACGACGATGAATAAATTGATATATTCTGTGTTGTGTTCTGTCTCTCGCGAAGAGAAGTGGGTGATTCCAAAATAGCTGAGCACCGGGGGGTGGGTTTGTAGGACAGCAAAATTTTCATTTCAAAAGGTCTTCTCCCTAAGGGGCAATTGCATATCTGCAAGAGTGACCGGACACTTCCCTCATCACCCCTCCATGTGCACAACGCCGCAGCTCAATTCCTCAGAGTGTAAATGGAATTGAGCGCCAGTGTTCATATTCCAGACCGAATTATTACAAGTATTTACGTGTTAAAATCAACTTTAATATCAACGTCTTAATCGTGCAACATCTTCATTACCAGCAATAACTGAACGGTAAAATAACATTACCGAGATCCTCCTGTCAGTCGATTGACATTCAAGCAATATCATTTTAACAGTTAGATATATTATCGAAGCTATACCGCTTAACAGCACTAAAGTCCACCCAAATCTAAATTGGGGGGTGTTTGCCCCGTACTAAGCTGTGCACACAGGGCCTCAGACCGATCCCTGTTCACCATTGCCTTCACTTAAATAATAATCATGAACACGCACCTGGCTATGACCTAGCTATTAGCAGAGTGCACGATTATATACGTGTGATCAATCACAGGTAAGCTCACACACACATACACCCTGGCTACACCAAAGCACATTGCCGTTTCCACTCACAATTCGTATGCGGTTTTTTTGCAGACAATCGAATATTCAAGGGCAAAAATTGCACCACCCAGGCACAATGTAATGCGCCCGACTTTAAGACGCAGATGAGACAATCCGTCGTGAGCATGAACCCCTCGTTCACAGGCATCGTCAAGTACTACAGCTGCTGCCAGACAAAATACTGCAACGGCGGTAAGTTGGGATTTCGAATGATGGATTTCCACTCTCACCCCCCCCCCCTTTTTATTTCGTGGTTACCTGCTGTCAAACATTACCAACAAATGGCAAACCAAACTAAGCCTCATCAGGCGACAAGCAAAAATTGGCTGTTGTTTGATGGTGACCACTGGTTATTGTTGTAATCACACCCCATACTAAACGTCACCAGCTACTCGAATGTGTAAATATGTGTTGTGCGTTGAACTCTCCAACACACACCAACTGGTTAGTGCTGAATTATTAAAATAAATCGTCACGTTTTGTTTAAGACCGAGACAAGAGGAGAAATTCTCCACAGCTCTGGCTGTCGCCTGATGATGCTGCTAGTTGTAATTACTGGCAAAAATCATGGCACTCGATTTGTAAATGTTTTCGTGGGGTTTACTCTCCAACACACAACCGGTGTGCTGTACTTGTGTAAAAAAGTTCTGACGAGTTGTGAAAGAAGAGAAAGGTACGACCTCTTATTAAGTTACATGGGGTTTTTACAACTCGTGACGAATAATGAATCAGCGGAGCTACACACACCCCCTCATTAATTGTCCCTTCACCACCTGTTCTATTTCTAGTTTCTCTCAGCACCTGTGTTCTTTCGATTTGATACATACTTAGTAGCTCCGTGTAACATTTCTTCTCCATTTAGTCCCCTACACTAGTAACGAATTGGCATGTTTTGTTTACATGACACCCATACTAATTGGCTGTGTCGTCGGGCGGTGGCGGATTTAATGATGCATTCATATTTACCCGATCTAACCCAAACACCTATATAAATGGACGTTTTGTTTACTGACAAACCACTTTACTGATTGGTTATGTAGGGTGGTGGTGGTCGTAGGGGTTTGCATCTTGAACCTTAAACTTTCATTTCTGCCGATTGCGTTGAATGAAGTTGCATTTGCCTTCATGTTTCTCGTGCGTTTTTTTTTTGGTACTACCACCGCTGGATTTTCTCGACCTCTCTCTGTCTCTCTCACTTGCTGATGCGAGCCTGTTTCTTTTTGTTGTTGCAGCCACTGGAAAGATCTGCTACTACGGGAGTGCCGGACTGGGAATCACCGAAGAATATAAGTTCTGCGCAACAGGCGAAGACTCCTGCTTAACCACCACCCTAACGCAGGGTAACGGTTTGGCCCGGGAAGATCATTTGGACGACCATTGCCATACGTGTCAACCCATACGGTTTATACGTATTCTTGTAGAGGGAAATTGAGTTTTTAGGACCATATCCTCTACAGCAGGCATGTCCAAAGTCCGGCCCGCGGGCCAATTATGGCCCGCGGTCAGATTTCATACGGCCAGCAGCTTCGGTCTTATAATGTGTTATTTATGGCTCGCTAGCTGTCAGAATAAATAAATCATTCCTCCTTTCGCCACACGGTGGCAGCACCATTCTAGTGCTCTTTGGCTCTGCATCCGTGCCGCGAATCCTTCTCGAATCATTTCTGCCATGGCGACTGCAAAAAAAAAGTTGACAGTGAGGGCCGCCGCTTTAATGGCAGCTGGACAAAAGCAGTTTTCCAGAAATGCGGTCATTCGCTAAGAAAATGCTGAGCTTATTCGGCTCCACATATTTGTGTGAGCAAACATTCTCAGTCATGAACTTAAACAAGAACCGATTGAGGTCAAGGATGAGTGACTCCCACTTGCGTGACATTTTACGCATCTCAACCACTGCCCTCAAGCCAGACCTGGTCTCTTTACTGAAATCTAGATCTCAGTATCACCCTTCTCATTAGTGTCAGCAAGTTATCTGTTCCTTGATCAATCTGAAATTGAGTGTTTTGAACGGTAACATCTTTCAATATTAACAGTGAAAAGCCTAAAGCACACTAATGCACTTGGACTTATGGCACTTGTTTGATTAAACTCTTGAATATGATTGGTTATAACTGTTGATGTTATGTACCTGTAGATGTGACACAAACTATTTCTTCTGAAAGATCTTGTAAAAGACAAGGGCAAAATTCACTTGTTATAAAGTTTAATGATAACAGACCACTTTGCATTACTTATAGCTCCTGTTTAAAATGTTCATGAGGCACAGATATTTAACTCATGTAAATTTAAGGTATTCTATACAGTTTGTTCAATATTACCTGACTGAATGAAAGGCAGAATTGTGTTTTTAGAGTTGTTCACGTCTGCCTGCGTGGCTTATATTTGGTTACATTGTCATTTGAAAAATAAAGGTAATTGTGACAATGAAATTGTTTTATAACAGTGTGTATTTTCAAGTAACTTTTGTGGTTAAAAAAATGTCAGAAAGAACTATTGGCCCCCGGGCATCTTCACTTTATCAAATTTGGCCCTCTTTGCAAAAAGTTTGGACACCCCTGCCCTACAGCTATTTCAACGTGGGCAAGACATAGTTTTTGTCTACTTGTTTGTGTTTCTGCCTTGTGATGGGACTCTGTAGGATGAACGTTGATATTTATAAGGACATGGGGTGACCAATAAGGTCTGAATTGGTCTGTAATAAGGTAGGCACTGATAAGGGGTTAGCATGTATGCTTTGCGTACTAATCTTGCTTCCTAACCCCTCGTCAGCACCTATACTTCACCAGTGCCCCCTTCGGACAAGTATTGCAAGTTTCTAAACAATGGCAACATTAGGGAGGGGGTAGGAGGCACTGCAGCTGGTGAGGGGATGTTTAAGATTAGTCGTGGATACAGTCACGTTTTCCAATTTGATTTGTAGATTTAATTCCTTAATGTATTGAGTTCCATTTTAATGTAAAAATATATTGAAGGACTGTGTCTTGGTCTGGTCTGAGACTGTTTTTGCTGTTGTTGAACTGTCCCATTTCCGAAGCTTAAGAATTGATTACGCAATTTGAACTTATATACTTTATTTATTTATTAAAGGGGTGCTACGGTGGTGAGATATTACATTCCTCACCTGGTATGCAGGATGTCGTTTGTTTGATTCTGACGCCTGCTGTATATTTGAAGTTTGCATGTTCTCGTAGTCACGTGGATTTTTTTCTCCAAGTCCTCCAGTTTTTTTCCTCCACATTTAGAAACATGCATTTAGATAATTAAAATAATTTTACTAATAAAAATGTCCGAATAATGAGCCACTTTATTGAGCTATCATTTGTGAAAGCCAGGTTACTTCTGAAAAATTAGTTAATACCTCAATGGGCTTTGCCTGGCAGGATATGTGTCTGGGTGATTTGTTTACCTTTATTGTACTTTGCGTGATTATTGTGTTTTTGTATTGTTCGTTTTTGTAACACTCTTACCCTCTGCCCGTACTGGACATTTATGAAGAAGAGCTTTATATCTCATTGGATTCCTCCTGGAGTGTAAATATATTTTCTGATTATGATAAAAGGGGGAGTCTATGTGGAGAGAGAACTAAATTAAACTCTTTATTTTACCGGGTAAGGCCCACTGAGCCCTCGGTGCCTAGGAGATGTTAACTACTTCGCCTTGTATGGAGGAAGTCGTGGGTTCGATCCCGACCCTGACATAACCTGCAGCTGTATATTTGGATTCAGCATCTCTCTCTTTCTCTCCCCGTGGTGGTCGCACGGATTTTTCTCTGTGGTCCTCCAGTTTTTCCCCTCGAGTAGTTGGCTGCTATAAATTTGCACGTGATAATACACTTTGTCCAGCTATCATTTGTGATGGCCAGGTCGCTTATGTTTAAAGAAAAGAAAGCTACGTAGCTCGGTGAGCCTTACCTGGTCAAATGAAAAATATTTTAGTTTAGTATTTGGCTGCTATACAATTCCAAGTGATTATCGGCCACTTCATTAAGCTGCTATCATTCGTGATGGTCAGGTTGCTTATCTGAAAAAATAGCTACATAGCTCAGTGGGGCCTTACACCTAGTAAATAAAAAATTGTTTCTAGTTTAGTGGGACCAATTCCCCAGGTTAAGTGACTTTGAGCTGCTCTGGAGAGGGGTGGTTATGCGGGGGACAATAAAACTCGGTCCAGGTCACTACAACGTTGATCTAAACAGTTTGCGATCGCCTCCTTGTTTTGCAGGTGGCAAAACATTCCAATTCAGGGGATGTGGCGTCACGGCGGCGTGTGCGACGTCCGATTACAAGACGGAGATAAAGCAATACATCACCGGCATCGCCTCTTCATTCACCGGCACCGTGAACGATTACACCTGCTGCCAGACCGATCTCTGCAATGGCGGTAGTGGATTTCAATTGACGGACAGATTGTTTAACCCACCTCTTTCTTATTTCTGTAATGTGGAGTATGCGTGTGTGTACATTAAAATTCATTTCGCACCGTGCTAATCAGAGGTGCTTGGGAAAGGACGATGACCTTAAAACAATAAGTTCGAAAATAAATGTGTTTTTTACATAGTATACTGGGGTAATCTGTAGTGTAATCATCATAGGCGATCCCTCGCAACCGAGGATGTGTGTCTTCCATTGAAAAGTCTAATTATCTTTGGGTCTTAAATACCTGAAGGGTGGTGGGTGGAATTGGATAAGTAATTTCGTCTACAGCATGCTGTTTCCGCCATTCCCGCTTTTCCTCTTCGTGTTTCCACCGTTCAGTTTCAATATGTTTGGAACCTTGAAATAGACTGTCTGTGTGTCTCCAGCTGAGGTGATACTGGGCAAGAGTCTCTTATGAGTTGGTGTCGATAGTGCACATCTTGATTTTGGCCTTCAGAACATCATTGAAGCACTTTATCTGCCCTCCTCTTGAATGCACACCCTGAAATAAGCTGGAGTTGGGCATATGGACGACATCGAATGATCGCGGCCTCGATTCTCGTGGTGTTTGTTTGCAAGAGGACGCTGATGTTTGTGAGTCTGTCTTCCCACCTGATGTCAAGGATCTTCTGCAGGCAGCCTTGATTGGACTTCTCTAGTGCTTTAAGATGTCTCCTATATGTTATCCACATCTCAGTTCCGTACAGCAAGGTAGAGATTACGACTGCTTGGTAAACCATGATCTTGGTTTTGGACCTGATGTCACATTCCTCAAACACAATTTTCCTCAGCCGACCGAAAGCTGTACTTACACATTTCAGGGGTTTTGTATTTCTTCGTCAACATCAGCATTCAATTAGGCTTATGAGGTTTGGGAAATGCACATTTTCATGAGTCTCACTGTGGATGTAAATTGTCGGAGCTGGGGACTGCTCATTGACAACTGGTTGATGAAGGACCTTTGTCTTTAAAATATTAAGCATCAGTCCCATTTTCTCATGTGCTTTAGTAAAGTTTTGATTGCCTGAAGATCCACTTCCATGTGGGCACACACGATGGCATCATCAGCTTACTGGAACTCAAAACAAAAATTAACCCGTAAAAACAAAGTTTTTCACTATAAATCCTTTATATGCGTGGCATCGGTTTTATTTTATTATTCATTTCAAATTTTTTTCACGAAAATAAATTGTCACGCACAACGAGTCTGTGTGCAAAATGTCAGCTCGTTGGATCACGGGAAGTGGGTTAAAAATCGACCGAAAGATTTGCACGGTCGTAAGCGCGCAAGCAAGCAAGCAAGTGAACTTAATATAAAGGATTTAACAACTACTGTCAGGATGATTTTAGATTTAAATCGAAGTTGGTTGATGTTGAACAGCTTACCATCAATTTGGTTATTTAAGCTCCACTCCTACTCGAAGCTTGCCAGTAGTTAACTGTAGCATCGCGGTGAAGAATATTGAGAAGATTGTTGGGGCGATTATGCACCCTTGTTTGACTCCAATCTTAACTTCAAAGTGGTGTGAGATGGATCCATTACTAAGAAGCACTGCTGTTATACCACCATGCAGCAGGCGAAGAATAGTGACAAATGTCGGTGGACATCATACTTTTGAAGGATCTCCACAGTGTTTCCTCGGTTGACAGAAGCAAAGGCTTTCGTGAGGTCAAAAAAGGCCATATAGAGAGGTTTGTGTTGTTCCTGATATTTCTCCTGCAGTTAATGGGCAGTGAAGATCATGCCAGTTGTGTGTATTGATCACCTGAACCCACATTGGGATTCTGGGTGGAGTTGATCAGTAATTGTCAGAAGACAGTTGAGGAAAGTTCTTGCAATGATCTTTCCTACAGTAGACAGCAAGGTGGTTCCCCTGTAATTTCCACAATCGGATGTATGTCCTTTCGTGAAGATTGTCACAATCATGGCATTTCTGAAGTTGTTTGGTATGTCTGCGAATTTCCAAATTTTCAACGTGAGCGCTTGTAGCCGTGACGCGAGCTCCTCTCCTTTTTTGAAGATTTCAGCAGGGATTCCATCAGCTCCCAGGTGCCCTATTGCTCTTCATCTGCTTGATGGCTTTCCTCACTTTATCAAGCATTGAGGGGATTCCAAGCTCATTTCTGTTTAGGTGTTGTGGGACGGAGCGGAAAACACTATCGACAAACGAGTCTCGATTGCGCTTATTTTCAAAATTATCTTTTCAGCGTGTGTTGAGTTCCCTCTCCTTAATCAGATCTCCTCCATTCTTAGCCCTCAGTGGGGGGTTGTTCCCCAAGTGCTCGGACCAAAGGCGGTTCTGGTGGCACTGAAAAAGCCATGCATATTATATGTCGGCAAGATGTTGGATCTCTTTCGCTTTGTCTTCCCACCATCAGTGTGTAGTGTACAGAAGTGTAGAATGTACATTTAACTTTTTTTAGCACCGTACGTAGACAACCGTACTAATTACAGATGCGGAGGAAAGACAACAAACTAAGCCCAAAAAGCAGTTCTTAAGAAGTGAATTTGTCAGTTTAGATGATTTTAAAGTGCATATCACCCAGTGGCATCCCAATATCAGAAGATACCCACAGAAAGCCACAGAGACCCATACTGATGTGTGTAGGTTGAACTTTTTTCACACTGTACATAACACGTAGGCTTTCGCGACCAATATTATTCATAATCAATGTTTTTGGGTTTAGATCGCGTTATTTATAAATGTGTCGTAACCCTCCACCACCCGACACGGCCAATCAGTAAAAAAGTGTCACGTTGACAAAAGACAAATAGTTCACTGCTTTAGCCCACCAGTGTGTTGAAGCATGAAACCACAACATTTACAATTTGAGTACGACGTTTCGCTGGTAATTGCATCCAGCATCATCGGGCAATTCACCAGAATGGTGAGGCTCTGCTGTGTCTCCCGTTCTTATATAGAGCAGCAGCAGGGTGACGTCATCATTAACTCATTAACTCATCAGGTGCAAAGATTTGAAGGGGGGGGGGGGTTATTGTAATTATATACTAGATTAGTAATCAGGATATTGTTACGATGCGAGTTGTAGATTAGTAATCATTCCAAATGATTTGGGGGGGGGGTTATTGTAATTATATACTATATTAGTAATCAGGCTATTGTTACGATGCGAGTTGTAGATTAGTAATCATTCCAAATTATTACTAATCTACAACTCGCATCATTCCAAATGATTACTAATCTACAACTCGCATCGTAACAATAGCCTGATTACTAATCTAGTATATAATTACAATAACCCCCCCCCCCCTTCAAATCTTTGCACCTGACGAGTTAATGAGTTAATGATGACGGCACCCTGCTGCTGCTCTATATAAGAACGGGAGACACAGCAGAGCCTCACCATTCTGGCGAATTGTCCGATGATGCTGGATGCAATTACCAGCGAAACGTCGTACTCAAAATGTAAATGTTGTGGTTTCATGCTTCAACACACCGGTGGGCTAAAGCAGTGAACTATTCGTCTTTTGTCAACGTGACACTTTTTTACTGATTGGCCGTGTCGGGTGGTGGAGGGTTACGACACATTTATTAATAACGCGATCTAAACCCAAAAACGTTGATTATGAACACTGTACATAGCCAACTATGTAATCGGAGGTGCAGTTTTGAGGCTATGGTGCATTGTTGAGTCTATTGGCAGTGAGTCTATGGATAGTGTTAAGCCTATGGGTATTTTTTTTTCGTCTGATGACTGACGCTTGTGTTGCATTCGGAACATCGTGATTTATTTTATTTCTACCCACGTGACTTTACCGAAAGAACCAAAGAGTATAGTCTATGGGAACTGTTGAGTCTATGGGAAGTGTTAGTCTATGCCCTATGGGTAGGGTAGTGTTGAGTCGATGGGTAGTGTTATCTATGGTAAATATGTATGTTGAACTTTCACTCCACCGTACATTGCCGAATGCACTGATCGGAGGCGCAGGGGAAGGACAACCAATTCAACTCTATCTAGATTTTAAGTTTTCGTGACTGCACGGATCTATACTCTTTGGTTCTTTCGGTAAAGTCACATATATATAAAACAAAATACATTAAATCACGATGTTTCGGGCGCAACACAAGCGTCCGTCATCAGGTGGGACAACCACAGCAATAAACAACTGCTGAGCCCAACACACTCTGCGTGTGTTGGGGTTCTTTCGCACCGTGCACAGCCAACCACTACAAATGACGCTATAAGATTAAAGTATTTATTATCATAATCATTATTATTATTATTCTCTGGGTCTGATCTGCATCAATGCTGTTGAATGTCACAGGTTCCCATGAGCTCACCCCCCCCACCCCCCTTGCCATGCAGTGACCAATGGTCGTACTTGTCGCTTCGGAAGCAGCGGGTTGGGAGTTCCTGAAGTGGACAAGGCCTGTGCACCAGGGGAAGACTCGTGTGTGACTGCTGTGCTATCACAGGGTAAGTTTGTTCTGGTAAAAATCACAACTTTTTAGCATATGTGTAATGGGTTCATTTTAGGCGCACACACTTCTTGGGAGGCAACACTCATTTATTAATGAACACAACAGTTACTCAGCAGTTACTCTTACTTTACACATAGGGTGGTGACCACCGACCTACTCTAGCTGACACACACTTCTCTTCGTAGCTACTTTAGCATGACCGAGCCAGGTGGACTGCTGGCAGGTCCGCTCACTGGAGGCCCTCTGTTCTTGGCATCTTCACGAGGCGTCTTCATTCTCGGCATGGGCAGCCTCGAACCTCCTGAGGAGGCTGCTTATATGGGCCTCGGCGTGCCCGGGGCCCACCCCGGCCACGTCTCCCTTCGAGCACCCTCTCGAAGTCCCCCCTGCTGTCCACGTGTCCCCCGAGGTCCCCCTGGGCCCCCGGCCCCCACTCGGATTCAGTCACATGTCCAGCACCGGCCCTGACGTCATTCCCGCCTCCAGCCGGGATGACGTCATGTGTGTGTGCAAACCCACGTGGTAGTAACACTCCCGGCACAGTGATGTCACATGTGTGCGTGTGTACACAGCAGTGACACCACAATCATTACATATGTAGTGAGTTCAACTGAGTCGCAGACATAATCTTTAGAGGCAACACATGTATTAACACCTATACACGGGGTAACTGCCTCTTAACAGAATAACAATCTATGGTGGTGACCACCAGGCTAACTACACTAATTACACCGTAACTAGCTACAAAGGACCGGACCATAGCTTGGGTCCCGGTCCACGTGTTGGAGACTCTTGAGGAACGTAGACTTTTTCAGGATGAACAACAGCAGCCGGTCCCTCTGGGGGACCCGGCTTATATCCTCACGGGTCGTGGCTGTCTCTGTGTTTGTCCACGACCACCTTCCAGAATCCTTGAGCAGGATCTCGACCCTGACATGTGACCACCCCGAGCCCCCACCTGGGGCCCTTTGTAGACTTAACCGGTCACGTGTCCTCTCGTGTCAACCAAAGTGCCATGGCCTATAGTAACCCCGTTCCTATGGCTGGCACTTCCACGCTATCCTGTAGGGCTGGCACTGCACGCCAAGCGTGGTGCTATCCAGCGCTATTACTCAGCGCTGACCGAGCCCCTCTAGGGCCGGCATTTACCCAGTGACATCCCGTTAGATTATATGTCACTACACATATAATCTAACGTATATTTATAGAGTACCCTTTACTCATTTGTTACAACTCCCACTACTCTACGAGACATCTGGCAAAAGCATGTACAACATTATAACACGTAGGCTTTCGCGACCTACGTGTTCACCATTCTGGCGAATTGCCCGATGATGCTGGTTGCAATTACCAGCGAAACGTCGTACTCAAATTGTAAATGTTGTGGCTTCAACACACCGGTGGGCTAAAGCAGTGAACTATTTGTCTTTGTCAACGTGACACATTTTTTACTGATTGGCCGTGTCGGGTGGTGGAGGGTTACGACACATTTATAAATAAACGCGATCTAAACCCAAAAACGTTGATTATGAATGTACAACATTATCCGGCACGTGTTGTGAAGGGGGGAACTGCTTAGATATGCATCGGCTTCCGGTTGCCGAACGAATACACAGCATTAAAAGGTCGCACTGACCACACATACACACAGTGTGCAATTGCCACTAGTGACCCACATTACGTTGCTGATCTCATCAAGGAACAATAAACCATCGTCACGCGAACTCGCTCATCCTTGCAGCAGTAGTGACATTTGGCTGCTGGCCATTGAACTCAGACAGTGGTCACCATCATGCATCGCTTTCAGATGCTATAGACACTACACTACTATACAGCACACTATACACTATACTACGATACACTACACTATGCATTATACTACACACTACTATATACAAAACTTTTGCTTAGCCGTCGAACAAAGACCGTCATCGCTCGGCACTTTCAGATGTGCTTCTGCGGCCGTATAGAGAGCTCTTCTGATATTAGGAAGCCACTGGGAGTTATACACTTTTAAATAATCATCTAGATCGACAAACTCATTTCTTTAGAACTGCTTGTTGTTTTGTTTAGTTTGTCCTTCCCCCTCAACTCCAATTAGCGCGGTTGGCTACGTGCATACATACTAAATTATAAGCAATATTTATTTTACCAGGTAAGGCCCCTTGAGCTATGCAGAAGCGACCTGGCTTGCACATATGATAGCAGCTCAACGAAGTGGCTGATAGCATCACGTGAAAATTTATAGCAACAGCCAAATACTCTAAACATGTGGAGATGTTGATTCTAAATGTGAAGGGGAGAGAGACAAGCAGACTCCAAATATACAGCAGGCATCAGGGTCGGGATTGAACCCACGCCCCACTATATACCAGGCGAGGGAGTTAATAATCTAGCAACAATGGAGCCAGTTTTGTTTGCTATGTCAAGGCGCTTGCAAATACACAAGGGTGGCATAGAATGGAATGATGCAGTTGGCAGAAGCGGTGTGCTACAAGGGTGATGAGTAATGAGTGACGGCAGTAATGGAGGGGGTATTTGGGAATCACGCGAAGGGGTGACAGGGAAGGATCAGGAAAGAGTGGAGGGGGCGTGGTGGAGGGGAAAGAGGCAGGGAAATGGGTGACGATGGAGAGTAGATGAGACTTTAAGAGAGGGAATGGAAAGAGTTTAAGGAGGGGGGAGACTGCTTAATGTACAGGGGTAGTGTTGAGTCTATGGGTGACAGTGCCGAGTGTGTGGGTGGCAGTATTGTGTCTATGGGGTTATTGCTGAGTCTATGGGTGGCAGTGTTGAGTCTATGGGTAGCAGTATAGAGTCTATGGGTAGAAGTGTTGAGTCGATCGTGCAGTGTTGAGTCGATGGGTGGCAGTGTTGAGTCTACGGTGCAGTGTAGAGTTATAAATGCTCCGATACGTCCATTGTTTTTGTACTGTTCCCCTTTTAACGTTCTCTGGTCTGACACTCGTGTTGAGACACTGAGTAGTGAGACACTGCAAGTGGGACACTGATAGTGAGACTAGGCCATACAAAAGGCTGTCTCTGGTGTAGGCCAATCAATGTCAAAGACAATTACAATACACTATGTAACACTATTTTTGTCTCTGGGTAGTAAGTGTCATTTTTAAATTGGTTATGCCTAAAAAGTATTTCTAAAATGGCTATTATTCCCCACAAACTTTGCTTTTGTGACTGTGACAGTGATATTTTGAGAAAACGGGTGAATTTGTGTTTTTTCGTTCACATAAAGTAAAAAAAACAACAACATATAAATCAAAATGAACAAGTATTCATACTAAAGTAATACAAAAAATTACTGCAAAATATTTAGAAGTGAGTAGTTTTTCGAGATTTTCGATTATATTGTAAATCACTTTCACAAATCGGCGTTCAAAGTCCAGTATATCCTGGTGGATGAGCTCGCCTTGCTCCTTCAAATACGCTCCCATGTTCTCTTTGAATGTATCCAGATGAGCATCAAGGTTATGGACTTTGAGGGAAATTTTACAGCCCATTTTGCCATAGTTCTTCACTCGTCTCAACCTGCTCCACAGAGTTTTCGGCCTTGTGATTACCCAGGAAGCCCCGAACCACTGTGTCAAAGCTGTTCCAAGCTGCTTTCTCCTTGCTAGTGAGCTTCTTAGGGAATAAATTGCACTCCAGGATCTTCTATTTCTATAGTCCGACGAAGACACCGGCTTTGACCTTTACCTCAGACAGCTTAGGGACGAAGTCTTGAAGGGACTTGAAAGATGCCAACTCCTAATCTACAGCTCTGACAAATTGTTTCATAAGGCCCAATTTGATGTGCAGTGGTGGCATCAGCACCTTCCTAGGGTTCACCAGTGGCTTCCACTTGACGTTGTTCCTGCCCACAGAGAACTCGGTCCGCTGTGGCCAGTCCCGCCTGTGGTAGTGCGCCTTGGTGTCCCTGCTGTCCCAAAGACAAAGATAGCAAGGAAACTTGGTAAAACTGCCTTGAAGACCCATCAGGAATGCCAACATTTTACAGTCTCTGATAACCTCCCAGCTGTACTCATCATACTTCAAGGCATCCAGCTAGGTCTTGATGCTGTTGTAATCCTCTTTGAGGTGCACCGAGTGAGCCAGGGGAAGAGACGAGTATTGTTACCATAATGGAGCAGCACGACTTTTGAGGCTCCTGGATGAGCTGTCAATGAAGAGGTGCCACTGGTTACAGGCGATTCCGATTGCCTCGAGCAGACTGGTAGCATTGTGGCAGAAGCAGAGCCCATCTTGACGGGTGAAGAAGCTGCAAAAACGTTGGTGACGCTTCCTCTGATCTGTGACTTGCACACTTGCATCCAACAAGTTTCACGGCTTGAGCCTAGATGTCAAAATATCGGCATTGGACTTGGTGAGACCAAGATCTCTGATCAAGTCGTTGAGATATTTTTGGTTGGGGTAGTATGGGTTTCTCTTCTCGGCTCCACCTCTGAAATTGTCATTTGGATCTACATCTTCTTCGCTCTCTGAATTGCTGATAACTTCTAATGACGGCTGCTCTCTCTCCGGGAGTGGGTACGGGGAGCTCATGGCAGTGTGACACCGGGGCGCTGGATGAAGGACGTTACAGATACATGACAGTCCGACGTTTGGAAGGGTCCACCTTGCAGAAGTAGCAGTTGCTTGAGTGGTCAGTGGTTTCCTGCCAAATTATTGGGATAGCGAACTTCATTGCTCTCTTTTCCCCTCTCTACCATCCTACAAAATACATTTATTTCACGAATGACTAATGTGTAAGAGATTCTCGCAACATTTTTCATATATGATATATATTTTCAACAACATTGAAAATTGTAAAACATTTTTTTAATTAAAACTTTTAACACACTTTATAACATAAAATTCCGAGCAACAATTGTCCATCTTACCTTCCAATTTTTTTTGCATTGCTCGCAGGTAAAATGAGGTCCCCATGGTTTGTCTTAATTCCCGACAGGCATGCCGAAATATGCCTTGTAGGCCTCACACATCTTAGCAGATGGTTCCACAGAGTACTTTTTCGCTCTTGTCTTGATAAATTGGCCGTAGACAAAGCAAAATACGCCTGCCGGATTCTTACAGCCTCTTGATGCCATCTCAGAAAAATCCAGATATGTATCCACTTAAGCAGCTAGAACTAAACTGACCTGGTGGGCTTAAGGCCCCTGTTTTTATGCTACTATTTATATTACTGCAAAGTTTTAGAATGTTCTAGAAGTTACTCCAAATTTACTCAGCACTGAATCTATCTGGAATTCTCACTGAAATAGGTACATTTAAAAAAAATCACTGTCCTGGTTACAAAAGCAAAGTTTGTGGGGAAATATAGCCATTTTCTGTACTTTTGAGGCATAAGCAATTAGAAAATTACACTTACTACCCAGGGGCAAAATATATATATTTTTTACACTGTTATTGGAGCATTTTTTTTTTAAACCTATCAACGTGACTTTACCGAAAGACCCAAAGAATATGAATTCCTGCAGTCACGAAACCTTCAAGTCAGATTCTTTCCTCTCTAGGTCCGTTGCCCCCCCCCCCCCCACTAGTTGTTTGTGTTCCCTGCTATTCATGCAATGCGCAATTGCGATCCTAGGATCATCACCATCATCATCATGTGCAGGCCCCTCCGGGAGTGGCAGTCTCCACACGTCGCCAACAGAAATTATATCTTGCACTTGCCGCCACGCTGAATGCAAGCCAAGGCCACGGTGTCAAAGATCGGCCTCGACCGTGCGTGTCCACGTCAGGCCGTGGTCTGCCCCGGGAGTGACTCCAGTCCCGCGCAGGGCTCTGGCGTGATATTCTCACGGGATGCCGGGCATCCTGTGAGAAGGCGGACCTCGGCATTGGTGATGTGTTCACTGAAGTGGATGTAGAATATCCTCGGATAGAATGTGCATTATAAATATGAACTAATATTAATCATTTATATTATTCATGCTAGCATTTATTTATGAATTGGAAATTATTTATATATTTAACAGGTTATGTTCCTTTTTACTTTTCCAGACGGAAAGCAGCTCATGGGCAGGGACTGCGCCACTTCGGCTCAGTGTGGCGCCGCCGAGTTCAAGGATCAGATAAAGGAGTACATCGGCTCCCTTTTCCCCTCATTCACCGGCACTGTCGATTCGTTCACCTGCTGCCAGCAGAATCTCTGCAACAATGGCAGCGGCACCACCAGTGGCACCACCACCAGCAGCAGCACCACCAAAGGCGGCGGCAACGGATGCGCCCGATTGCGTGCGGCTCACTTCACGTCGGCCTTGCTCGTTGCCGCGATCGTTATCTCGTCTGCTTTTTAATACTCTGCTTGTTGGGCCGACCGCGGCAGTTGTCCTCGCCCAGCGTGGCTGACGGCACTCCTGAAAAGGGGGAAAGGGGTGCCCTAAGATAAGCAGGTAAAAAAATATATTTCGCCTGGTTAAAATTGTGTGGGGGACTTCTCTACTTATGAATATTGCACTCCCGGACTTTCAGAGATACGAACAAAGCTCTCCCCGTATATGTCCAGTTGCAGCTGTTTGGAAACGAGAATCGTAAGATCTACGGCCGCCCAAAACCAGACACGAGTGGCATCTACATCTGCAGAACGTGAAGAACCAGTGGTATCTACAACGTGAAGAACCAGTATCATCTGCATCTGCAGAGCATGAAGAACCAATGGCATCTACATCTGCAGAACATGAGTAAACAGTAGCATCTACATCTGTAGAACATGAAGAACCAGTGGCATCTACATCTGCGGTACGTGAAGAACCAGTGGCATATACAACGTGAAGAACCAGTGGCATCTGTATCTGCAGAACATGAAGAACTGATGGCATCTACATCTGCAGAATGTGAAGACATCAGTGACATCTACATTTGGAGAACATGAAGACACTGGTCGCATCTACTTCTGCTGAACGTGACGTATCAATGACATCTACATCTCCAGAATATGAAGAACTGGTGGCATCTACAAAAACAAGCCATTCCTCATGTTTAGTGTACACGCCGTACAACGTGTTTGGAATCGACAGGAGTAAAGTTGGACTTACGAACAAATCGACTCATGACAAGACCTCTGGAACCTAACTCGTTCATAAGTAGAGGAGTCCCTGTATGGGTGCCACGGCCGCTAGTGAGATGATAACTGCCTCGCCTTGTATACAGGAGGGTTGTGGGTTTCGACCCCGCACCCTGACGGGCCGATGCCTGCTGGTGTATATGTGGAGTCTGCGTCTCTCTTTTTTTTCTCTCCCCATGGATATGTTATATCCCTTGCTTGGTATACAGGAGTTCGAGGATTCCATCCCAGACCCCGACGATGCCTGTTATTATATATTTCGAGTCTCTCTCTATCCACGTGGAGGTGTTAACTACCTTGCCTGAACTACAGGATAGGATGGGTTCGATCCCGGACCCTTACGATGTCTGCTGCTTTCTATTTGGAGTCGGCGTCTCTTCTTACTCGCCGTGGTATTAGTTTATAGTCCCGTGGTTCTCGGTACGTGGCAATGTCTCAGGGGATGTACGTGAGGTGATTTATAAATGTGTGAAATTATATCATACGTGAGTGTCATTATGTACATACGACACAATACGCGACACTACTATACATTACACTATACAGTACACTATGCACTACACTATACAAATACGCTACTATACACTTCACTATGATACACTGCACTATACACTACACTATTATATACTTACAATATACACTACACTACAATACACTCCTATACACTACACACCACACTCTACACTACCGTACACTGCACTATCCGTGTCTCTCTCCTCGGTCGCGTGGATTTTACTCTGGGCTCTCCGCTTTTTCCCTCCACATTTAGAATCAACATCACCATGGGTTGAGAATATTTGGCTGATATAAATGTCAACGAGATGATGATAATTCACTTGGTTGAGCTTCTATCATTTGTGATAGCCAGGTGAGGGCTTCTAAAATAGAGTGGCATCGTATCTCAGTGGGGGCCTTACACCTGCCAAAATAAAAATAGTTTAATTTGAATTTAGATGCACCGACTGGGCTCCCCTCACTGTCGCGAACTCAGTTCTCAAACGCAAAATTCTTTTGCAACTCCATTACATAATAATCAGAATAATATTTATTTATACTGCAGGAGGAGAGTTCCGATGAGCTATGAAGCTCTTTGTGTCAAAGATGTCCAGTAGGGGGACACGGCGGTCAGAACGTTACAAAACAACAACATACACAATACTCACAAACACCGATAGGGGTGCAAAGTAGATGAAAGGTAAGCCAATCACTAATATTCAAATCAAACTCAACTATTTTTAAATTTTACCAGGTATAAGGGCCCATTGACCTGGCCATCACAAATGATAGCAGCTCAACCATGTGGTTGACATCATCATCATCACGTGGACATTTATCGCAACAGCAGTCATATTCTCTAAAGACGTGGTGATGTTGATTTTATATTTGGAGGAGGAAAACCAGAGGACCCGAAAAAAAATCCGCACAACCACGGGGAGAAAAAGAGAGACACGCAGACACCAAATATACAAAAGTCCATCGTCAGGGTCCGAGATTGAACCCATGATCTCCTGCATACCAGGCGAAGTAGTTAACATCTCCTAGCAACCATGGCTCCCACAAGAGATAGACAAACACCGACACAACCCCGGGGCCCGGCCAACCATAAAGTACATTCACACGTAGTTACTCAACGACGATAAAGTCACCACGCAGAGACCTGTAGACTCACCACACAGAGACCCATAGACTCACGACCACATAGTGGAGTGACCCACAGACGCATCACCCTACTACACACCCCCCCCACCCCCCCGCTGGTCAATTACAGAGTCCGCTCCCACGTAGTTACTACGCGACGACACCGTAGATCGTAGAGAGAACGCCGCGCGACGGGCTGCCCCCACCGCTGCCCCGTACCTCTCCCGTTTGCGACGGTTGGGTAGTGGCGGCAGCACCGGCAGGGAGCCCCCCGAGGATGTGCAGCACGGCCGCTGTCCAGCCGACGTAAATGTACGCGCCGATCTCTCGCTTCATGGCGTGGGTCACCAGCGGCTTGTGGAAGTCGCGCACGACGGAGTCGGCCGTTCACGACGAGGGCACCAGCTGCGCAACGCCGGCGAGGACGAGGGCCACCCCTGAGCCCATTGTGACGCGGGCCTTGGCCGTGACGTCATCGCCGATGCACGTGGTCCACTTGGCGTCCGCGACGCCCGCCAGGATGCAGAGGGCCGCGAAGACGACGGTGGTGATGGACAACAACAACAACCGCCATTCGCCACTAAGTGGCGGTGACGTCACCACGACGCTGGACAGGCACCTACGAACACACAACTTACAAACAGCCGCACTTACGAACACTCGCACTTGTGAACACCCACACTTGTGAAAACTTGCACTTGTGAACACCCGCACTTATGAATAGACGCACTTATGAACACCACCTGCAAATAAGGACCACCCGCACTTACGAACACCCGCATTTACGAACAGACAACTTACGAATACCCACACTTTAGAATGCCCACACGAACCAGCTTACAGGGAACATATATTTAACATCGACTTAAAACGCGAACTCTCACTTGCAAACTGAACCACATAACTATTTTGTTCAGCGGAGCGATCCTTCACGAGATGTAGTGAGTCAGCCTCGTGTGATGGGGAGTGAGTGAGTGTTGTGTGTATGTGTGTTGCGTGACTACAACAGATTATTAAAATTACTACAACATATTTAGACGCAAAGGCACACTACCACAAGCGGGACTGGCCACAGCGGATCTAGTTCTCTGTGGGGAGGAACAACGTCAAGTGGGAGCCACTGGTGAACTCCCAGAAGGTGCTGATGCCACTTTTGTATTACTTTAGTATAAATATATGTTAATTGTGATTCATATATTTTTTTCTGACTGTATGTGAACGAAAAGACACAAATTCGCCCGTTTTCTCATTGAAAATAGGTACATTTCAAAATATCACTGTCCTGGTCACAAGAGCAAAGTTTGTTGGGAAAAAATGCCATTTTCTATACTTTTTACGCATACGCAATTACGAAATAACACTTACTACCCAGGAACAAAAATTGTGTTACGTAGTGTTATTGTTGACCACCCCCACTGTGCCCAAGGGGACGATCATGGCCAGGAAGAACTGAGGCACAGTGGGCGCGGGTCATACGAGGTTGGGTCCTCTTCAGGGCTCTAGCGGCCGGCACTTGAGCTGATCGCGTGCTCTTGGCGACCCTCTAGCATCGGGCTCGAGGGGGTGGCAATCGGGTTAAGCTCCCGGGGTGGCTGGCCATCCCAACGCCGCTTGGTTCACCCTCGCTACTGTAACTGTCCTCTCCCTCTTCCCGCTCCCCATGTCCTGCACACTGGTCGTTTCGAGAAGTTATTCGTGGCATTTTAAATCCTGCCCACTGCCGCCAGATGTAGAAAGACTCAGGATCCCGAGGTCGGATCTGAGGACCGTTATTCTAGCACTCTGACTTACGTGCCTCCAGCCACCATTTCTCCCAGCCGTCTCTCCCCCCCCCCCTTCCTTCTCGACCATCTCCTTTAATCCCTGACCCCCTCCCTCACATCATCCCTTTTCATTCACCAATCCCATATTTCTCCGCCCTCTCCCCCAACCGACTCCTCACTGTCTCCTCCCCCTATTCTACTTTCCCACTCTTTTGTTCTTGAACCAAGCTGGCCAAACTTAGCTCTCAAGATTTCCCCTGGCACCTCCCCGGGTTGGGCCCGCACTCTGCTGTTGAAAGACTCCTACCTCTCTCCCCGATCCCGAGGTGTAATCCAGTCCAAGGATATTAGCATGACATCATCATGGCTTGGCTTCGCGAACGAAGATCTAGGAAGGACATCCACGTCTTCTGCAGGCACGCTGGTGGCTGAAGAGGCCTATGCGGGACAAGCAGGTACTGCCACAACAGCTGCAAGTATAGGTCTGAGCTGGGATGGGTGCTGAGGGATCATGGTTCTTCCTCCTTCTCCTTTTGTCCTCCATACGAGCCCTGTGGGTATCTTCGAAGAAGGTGGCCTGGTGCACTGTGTGCCGCCAGGAGTTGCGATCAGCTGCTTGTGTTGCCCACTGACGGTGATCGATGCAGCAAGCAGTGAGGGACTTCTTCAGGGAGTCTTTGTTATCGCTTTCGTGGTGCCCTTATGATAATAGCCTGACAATAATAACAATAAAATCCGTGCAATTGTTATTTTTATTAACAGAAACAAATGTTCTAATTCTAGATTTGAGGCTTTCGTGACTGCAAGGATTCATACTCTTAGGTTTTTTCGGAAAAGTCACGTAGGTAAAAAATAAATAATACAAATATAATAGAAATAAAATA